AATGAACAACATTAAGACTCAATCAGAAAGTAGCTCCATGGTCCTAAAAGAGCTGAAATTATTATTATTATTTTTTACATTATGGTTTATTTTTTTACATTGTAGTGTATTGAGCGTGGACAGTATTGTGTTTGCTAATTTTAACCCTTTCATGCACCCTGTAACCTGATAACATGATAAGCTCTCCACTGCGATAACCGCTGTCCATCAAAGGGTTAAAAAATAAATAAGTAAAACGAACCTGATTCATCTAGAACAGGTCACATTTTTGAACATGCATACAAATATCAACCATGTGTCTCTATCAATGCTTTACGAGACTAAAAGTCTTATTTTTGAAGATGAGCGTACGTGCCCTCAGAGTAAAAAATGGCGCATCTTCATTTTTGTGACAGGGCAAGTCTGGTTTACCATGTTTGGGAATTTTAGCAGACCGCGCTCTGACCGAGGGCCTTTTCTATCACTTTGTATGAGCACCTGATAATTTGTTGACAGAAAGTAAACTGGACTTTAGACCCGGTGAAACCAGGTCTAAGTCGTGGCGCAGGTGGTTTAACACTTTTTTTTTTTTTTTGACTCAGTGAACAATAGTAAGACTTGATCAGAAAGTAGCTCCATAGTCCGAAAAAAAGCAGATTTTTTTTTTTTATTTTTAACATTATAGTGTATTGAGCCTGTACAGTATTGTTTGCTAATTTTTAACCCTTTCACGCACCCTGTAACCTGATCACATGATAAGCTGTCCACTGTAGTAACCGCTGTCCCTGGAAGGATGAATGCATTTTCAAGTTAAAACGTACGTCTGCCTCATCAGCTGCTAAATCGGCACATTAAAAACGCTCTTGTGCTTCTAGGATTGAGTGCATTGTCGTGAGGATATGTCCACCTTTCTTGAAAATAAGGAATGAGGCCTGTTCAGCTTATATTCCTTTCAAATTCAGTCCCGGGCTGACTATTTAGCCATTGTCGTGTCTGTGATGAAATAAGACATCTGCCATGCTCTCCGAGGCCCATTAAGTCGCACCACCTTTGAGGAGCGTGCGCCATCGTGCTGGATTTTTTTTCTTTTTTTTTTCTTTTCAGTGAACACATCGCGGTGAAGGGAAATGATCTATCACTTGGAGTAAACTGTAAACAGCCTAATGACATGTGGCAATATAAAATGGAAAATTCAAATAAACATCAGTGTGTCTGTTTGGAGGCACTGCTGGTACAATTGGCCAAACACTGGGCATTTGAGTAATCATTACTAGTCATAACTCAGCACACTGAAGATGTTAAAATAAACAGTATACTTCGGTAAGGCATATACAACAAGGCCCAAATTTACTTTAGTCGTATCACAGGAATCTGTGAGGTAAAGGACACTCACCAGCCGTGCCAGAAACAGCATCTTTTAATGTCACGGCGTGTCTTTTCGTCAACAGCGAGGCGCTTTCTCTCGTGAAAAAGTCTCGATTCTATTGCCTCGGTGGCCTCGGCGGAGATTTGTAAATGTCGCGTGACATGAGAAGACACCTAAATTGTTTTGAAACCTTCAAAACTTACCGGTATGATTTACACCTGGAACTCAGAAAAGCTCAACAGAACATATGATGTGACTAGGAATGTTTTACAGGCTGTATTTCAGTGTTAGCTTATCAAAAAACAAAACAACATCAAAAAAACAGATAAAGCTTCTTTTTACTCTTTGATTCTGAGCTTTAACCACAGTGGACAGCTTATCAAGTTATCAGGTTACAGGTTCTCATTATTTGTGCATGAATGCGTTAAAAAACCCAGAAATAGAAAAATGGGATATCCTTTTTGTCTGCTCTCTCTTACATTAAGTGTTTTCCAACACCTTCCACTGAAACTTCAAAACGTGAGCACTCCAGCAGCTGAAAATTCCCAATTTTGGCAATTAAATTGGACAAAAATAAGCCCTGAAGTCTCCCAAAAACCCGAGCTCAAAGCATTCTCGTGAAAGTACCCTACGACCTTAACCTACATCGTGAAACGGTGCATCTATGTGATCTTTGACAGTATTTATGATGCCGCTGGAGTGGATGCGTCTTTTTCTCCGCGCTTAATACATCAGTCAGCAATAAACAAAAGACAAACGAAAAAAAATCGCACAACACAAAGTCAGCTGTGTTTAGTCTTTCTGTGACGCTCCCAAGTACTTGCAATAAAGACAATCATTGCTGCGTGTTCATCACTCCATCTCATGATCAAAAGTCCACAGTTTATTGTTTATAAGCTTTATTCTCACTTTTTATTTGTATTTCTTTTTTTTTTTTACTTGGGGGAGCTCCTCTCCTGATGGACAGCTGATCATGTTATCGGTTTACAGGGTGCGTGAAAGGGTTAAATGATGATATTAAAATGAAGGAGGCAAGTTATTTGTTGCAGAGTGTTCCGGTCCTTTGTGGCAGAAATGCTGACTTTGGGGAAAGAAGACGTTCGTAAAAAAAAAAAAAAAAAAAATGCTGGAATGGAGAGCGCAGGTGGTGGTATGCCCGGTGAGCAGAGAGCGAGGATGGGGTGGAGTCCTGTCGGTGAGTGTTAACCAATGTGCGTCTTTGACCGTGCCGCTCAAAACCAAGCAGGAGTAACTTTTTAGAGGGTAAAAAAAAAAACACAAACAAAAAAAAAAACCTGATTTTTCATTGTATCTCATTTGATTATTTACAGGTGCCAAATTTTGTCACTGGCCAGTGCAAAATCCCTTCAATATTTTCCACAAGCATTAATGAACCCACAGATGGAAGGCAATTACTGTACTGTAGGTGAAATTATTCGTGACAAAAAGTCCCAAAATGTAAAATGATTGGAAAATGATTAATGTCACACCAGTTAAAGTAAATAAAATGCTAAATGCGAACCAAGGCATGCGACGTAAGCATCACATTCATGTGTCACACAGCCAATCCCATGATAGCTTATTTCGAACCCAATATCCTGTTTCAGAGAGCACGAGTCTGCGGCATGTTACTTTTGGCCCCTTACCAAGTTGCCAAAGTATGAAAATTACCCATCAAGTAATAACATCCAGTTCTTTAAAAGCCATCAGCGTTCTTTTAACAGAACTCTGCATGACTACGAGGCCAGACCAGACTGGCAGAACATGACTTCCACATCCACCGCCACCGCAAACCACAAGCCCCCAAAATCAAAACCCCCTTTACACCCTTCACCCCGATGATCAACATAAAGGGGGGGGTTCATTCCGAACCCTTTGTAAGGCCACGTAATTCAGCAACCGCAAGACTTGGCGATTATAGCTGCTCATAAAACTTAGATAACACAGCATTGGCTTCCACTTGCTTCTATTGGGTTTTCTCATGTACTCAACGGGCCTGCCGGACAAAGAAATAATGTCTTTTTTTAGGCTGGTATTGTTATTAAAGTTTAGTTTGGGGCTATGTCAGCCCAGTCACACGACAGTGATGACTAATACCTTTACATTGACACAATTCATTTAATTAAGCTCTCATCACAATTTTTCTTGAGACACAAATGTAGAAAGTAACCAGATTTCAATTAAAACCAACTGTTGTTTGGATGAATTGTGGCACATCCTCAATTCCAGACTTTGAAAAGGACATTTGTTGGTTAACCAGCTCGGCCAGAAATGACTTGGCGCGGGTTGCATCATAGTTTTTCGGCTCAAAGACAACTTGTGACAGAAGGGGAAACGTGTACGGTAGATGAAACCGGATGCGAAATGAATCACAGACCACTTGCGGTCTCCCTGCGGTTGTAGTGCTTTCCAGCCATTGATGGCTGGTCACTGAAGTCACTTATTTTACTCAATCAAACACTGTAGTTGGCTCCGTGTAGCTTAATAAGCATTCTTGAAAAGGGCTAGTTTGCCTTGGCATCGCACTGACCAAGCATGAAAGAGTAACTGGAGTGAACAGAGTTGTCAATTTGCTGTACTAGAGCTCCCTCTTGTGGTGACTGACAGTACCCTCGCGGTGGCTTCCAATTAGGGTGAAACCACCCTCAATAAATGGGTTTCGGTTTGACATTTATGAAAAAAAAACTAAATTATACGACAATCCCTCACTACAGTTGTCCGATGTTAATCGTGAATCGTTCTTGCTGATTCTAGCGGCGAAAAAGTCTGGTAAATCAAACATAGAAATCAGGATGGATTGTATTGCATTGAGGGCTTCTGGGCTGCGTTTCAGAAAGTAGCCTCTAGATGGCAGAAGAGAGCAGGTTTATCCAATCAGTCACCAGGTGGGCCTCTTTGAGGCTGACAAGAAAGTCCGGAAGCCAAAGTCCTCTCTGGTCTGTCATCGTAATCTTCAAAGTCATTCAGAGGAACTCATCCCTCTTAGTTGCACGGCACAGCGGCGCACACACACCTGCACGCACACTATTCCTTGCGGTTCTCTTTGTAACAAAAAAAAAGGAAAAAAAAGGACACATTTGATGTCATGTCCGATCCCACATCTCAGAATGCTTGACAGGTCTACAGACAGTCTGGTCCTTTTAGGTTGCTTCAAGGCTTTACTGAAGGTATTCTCTGTGGAGTTAAATAATTGTGGGATGAAGATTAATTAAAAAAAAAAAACAAGTTTGCATCCACGATATCTCAGATTTATTTGTTTAGTTATTTTTGCGAGTCATAAGATGACACTAGGAAGTCTCTACTAAAAAAAATATGCAGCACATTGACGAAAATGGAAGTGCTTTGTGCATGACTCAGTTAAACAAGAGTCAACCTCTCCTCATTGCTTTCCTCTCAGGATGAAACAATGCAGAGGTGGCAAATCCAAGACCGGGAGGTAAGAATTCTGTCAGTTTGCCATGGGTGCTTCGACTCAACCAATGGGCGAGTTCACCTGCTTGAGAGTGAAAAGAAAGTCTTGAAACTATATGACATTTTTTTAAGCCTAATTTTATATCATAGACATTTTTTTTAAATCATTGAAATTTGGCACGGCTGTGAGTCAACTTAACCTTTTTTTTTTTTCCTTTTCCTTTTCCTCACTGCGCTGACAAACCCATTCTCATAAAGTTCAAACAAAAGTCCCCAAGCTAACAATGGGTACCGGTCAGCAGGTGCATGGACAGACAGAGAAAGGGACGGTCCCGATTCAGCTCCCCCGGCAACGGCCTCATTAATGCAAACACCGTGTTGCTATGGAGGCTGCAACACATAATTAGTTCCTCCTCATGCGGTTTGGGCCCAGAGGGAGAATTCCTCAACAGACATGGACGAGTCACCTGCTGCGGACCACAGACTGGACTTTATAGAAGATTACGTGCTGAGGACTCTCAAAGTCAAACACGACCGCTGGCAAAAATGTGTGTCCAGCGAAGACAACTTGCAGATTATGCAGGACTTCCTGGACCAACCGCAGCAGCGGATTTTGGTGGTGTGTGTGACCTCGACCGGACTGTTACAGCCCGCAGCCGCCTTCACGTCCCACTCCAAAAACAAAGCAGTGTACTTTCTAAAACGAAGCAAAACAATCCTGACTGCAGAACGCATGGAGGATAACTTGGTGTGCGGCGACTTGTCTTGCTCGCCTCTTGACCAGTTTTCTGCCCTGATTGAGGAGGTAAGACAGCAGCGGAATTTGTATTCATCATGTGGATGGGTTCCATCGATCTATCTTTCTAACTTACGAAATAATCAAGCGTAAATACCTGATAGAAGGAAACTTTTCAACTGTCTGCACTTTACGTGAGTATTTATTTTGGACTGTTTACTTTTGTGCATTTACTTTTGACATGAGACATTTGTACTTTCTACTGCTTCGTACCAAGGTAAGGCCAACCTCAGTTGATTTGATTCAGTGAAGCAAGATATTCCCCATCCATGGCTTTATTTCTGAGAATCGGTTGATGTTGTCAACATGTCATTTTGTCGGTGGCGCATGATGTGTGCACAGACATTTTTTTTTTTTTTAAGAGAATCAGAATTTATTGATTTATTGGCCATGTATGCAAAAATCACACAAGGAATTTACATCCGGCTTATAACCCATTCAGAGAAACAGACAAGACAACAACAATGAACATGGGGGGGGATTGAACGAGAAGCCTGGCGGGTCGCTGTTAAGCGCCCCGATATCTTTGATGTGAAAGGAAAACAGTCGGGAAGAGGAGGAAAAACAAAAACTAACTCAAACCATTATCTCAATGGGAAGATGGTTTGAGCCACCGAAAAATTTCATCTTATATTTTACTTCATTCTGCATGTTTAAAACCCTCTGTGGTTTGTGTTCCTGATTTTAAAGTACACTAACTGGCAGGGGGCTCTGAGAAGGTGATAAAAAATTGGCGTCTCTCTACTTCAATGCCCGACATTGAAGATACCATTTTCTTGGGCCTTTCGAATTATCATAACTTTTCTCCTCTTTTGCATACAAGTCCTGTAAATCGAATTGAATTGTACATGAAACGCAGTTTTTTTACAACAGCCACCTGAGTGACATCCCGCCCTGCCAATAGAAACGTGTGTCACAGGCTATGACGCAAATCCTCGTTGACAGAAATTGTATATTTCTGCACATTTTTAGAGCATTGGAAAACATTAAGAATGTTTGCGTCATGTTTGTCCTCTTACAGAACCCATATTAAAACAAAAAATAAATTTCCCTCCCCATCTTTTTCAATTTTCAAACATTTTTGAAAAAGCTCCAGGGAGCCACTAGGGCGGCGCTAAAGAGACGCATTCGGCTCTAGAGCCGCGGGTTGCCGACCCCCGGTCTAGCCCTACCATTGATTTCTTAGTGACAATAATTTAAGAAGATGTGTATCTCAACACATGCCATCAACAAAATAGAATCGAGTCGAATAAGCATCCTTTCCAAATATTATTGTGGCAAAACAATGGCAAGTAGTTTCGCAGCTCTAAATTTTGAAAAACATTCTACAAACAGCTCATTAAGGAACACCAGTTGGGGGTACTTATGCAAAATCCCACACAGCTACTATCTTCCCTCCATAAATGTTTTATATCTCTTATTTAAACATTTAATCGACATAAATGTATGTTGTATAACTGTTAAGTGTTTAAATATGAGTTATGGTATGGCGACGCAGCGGCGTTAATTTTTAATATCAGCTGGGCAACATAATTACTTGATGCTGAGAGGAGCTTATTTCTCGTACTCTTATATAAGGCACTTCAACAAGAGTCGGGAAGAAACTCATTGTGTCTGCTTCACACTCGAGACGTTCTGGGTTTGAATCTTGGCCTTCCGTGCGTCGTCTTCCACATTCCCATAATATGCATGTTGGGTCATTGAAGACTCAAAATTACCCTTTGGGTGTATAAATCTGTTGCTCTGCGATTGTATGTACCGTATGCGTGATGCAGTTGATGCTTTTTTTTTGCTTTACAGATCCGAATGTTACTTCCACTTGTGACTGAAACATAAAATTAGTTAAGGGTGTTGCCTTTACGACATTCATTATTTTTATGGGTTTTGAGAGGTGCTTTCAAAGTAATAACCCAAAAATGTGCAAGTAATTGCCTTACCTCAGACACTGGGAGGCTCAATATCTTGAAGAAGTGTGTGGCAGGCGCTCACTGTCAGATCCACTTTTAAAATAGCTACTCATTCAAATCACCTTGTAACCAGTGGTGTTTTCATATTAACGCAAAGTGGCGGGGCACCAAAACCACTTAGGTAGGCGGGTAAATGACATTGCGCTCTTTTTTTCCATTCAGATGTGTTTGTTTTAAAATTTCGAATACGTATTCCAAGGACGTCAGTTGTAAGTCGCACAGATGACCCAAAAGAATCCAATACAATTCAATCCATCCTGATTTAATGCCTTCTGTCTTCGAAAACCAGCTTTACAAGCTGCTGTATCAACTGAATTATACATTTAACTCTTGTGCAGAATCCTTTTTTTTTTCTGCCCACTTCACACCTTAGCCTGGCAGCTTGCGACTTGGCAAAAATTCCTAGAGCTGTAACAGAACTTAAGCCAGAGGGCAAGATGTGCCTCGGGCAGGTCGCTTTTTCGCTGTCGACCAAAGATAAACTGAAATAGTGGCCAGACTGACCCGTGAGAAGCAGCAATGTCCCACCGAGTATCGAGATTGCTGGATAATACAGGACAGAATATAAAGGAAAAAGCTCGGCAAACTTCGAGTTTATCGAAGTTAATGCCATGGCAACCTTTCTTCCCAACTGTTCGCCTTGTCATTTCAGTGTGATGTCCACATTTAATTTGATTTAGGCCTACTGTGTTGATGAAAAGATTCGGTTACGTTGTTTTAACTTAGTCAAAGTACAGGCTGAAAAAAAAAGTACCGTAATTTCCGCACTATGAGGCGCACCTAAAAGCATTCAATTTTGTCGAAAGCCGACAGCGCGATTTATAATCCGATGCATCTTATCTATGGTGTTACACTCTCTCTGTATTCCCCATTGAGTTGTTTCCCCTCTTTGTGTTCTGATGCCATCGAGTGGTGATAATTAGCACGAAACAATTGTGACGTAAACTAATTGACATGTACATTCGCCAACACACGGCACGACTTTGTGAGCTCTGCCCAGCCATTATGAAACAAAGATAATACCAAATGCATAGTTAACTGCTGACTAAACGAAGGAAGAAGGAGACAAGCAAGACTTCGAAGGATATTTAGCCCCTTGTGGATGTGATCCCAACAGCTTTGTGTACCTTTTTGTTGAATCAATTGTCGTCATAACCTCTGTCTTTCATTTGTTGTTTTGTAATGCCAAGGAATAAACCCTGTATTTTTATAGACTTTGTTTCGTGCTTCATGCTACATCCTGAGGATATGGATAAATATTCGGATTCCTTGGACGTAGTATTTCAAATGTTCTGTAAATCGCTTTGTAACAGCTTCAGTGGATGTGATGGCTCTATATAATGCTCTATTGTATTGTATTGTATTCCCTTTAGCATAGCTCCATCGAGTGGATCCATAACGCAACCACAGCCACAACTGTAGCTTCTATTCTATGCGCCTTATAATGCTGTGTGCCCTATATATGAAAACAGTTTTAAAATAGGCCATTCATTGAAGGCGGGCCTTATACTCCGGAGCGCCTTATAGTGCAGAAAATGCGGGCCTTGTCAGTCATTGGCCCTTACATCTCACCTTTTTTGTCGCCCCGCTCTAGGTTGTGGCCCCACTGCTGTCCAACAGTCGGAACCACACCGATTGGCCTCAGGTGGTAGCCCAAGATGTCAGGCACCTCATCCACTCCCTAAAGAGCAGCGTGTTTGTCATGTCAGGCCAAGTCCAAGGAAAGACACTGCTGCCCCTTACTGTTGGTTTGGAGAGTGTAGAGCAAGCTGCCTTCGAGATGGATAACGGGTAACCCAAACAAAGTGGACTGTTTGATCATGCATCCCCCCCCCTTGCCCCCCACAACATTTACATTCAAACTTGTGAAATTTCTCAGGGGGGAAACAATAGATAAGAGCATCATCCACTCCTTGGAGTCAACGGTGATTGAGTGGAGCCATCAGATCCGTGCTGTGCTGATAAAAGACTCAGCAGAGGCCTTGCTTGAAGACAAAAAGCCCACACCACACACAGAGCTGCTCTTCTGGAAGAACAGGTTGGCAGATCTATTTCTACGGATACGAAATGGCCACCGGCAACCTCGAACAAAAACGTTCAATGTTGTGTCACAGAGCCCCGGAGGTAAATTATTGTAACACTTTTTGTCGTTTTTCCAATGTTGAATTTTTCATAACAACTGCACCGTCTCATGAAAAATGCTTGTTTTGGCATCTCCTGATTCTAATCGAAGATTTTTTTTTTTTATTCTGTGGTAGACATTCTCTGCTTTTATTTTTATTAGCAAACACGCTAGCTGTGATCAATACAGACTACTTACATCATATAATTTAATGCATATTTGCGACACACTTAGAGTTGTTTAGATGTTTCCCCAATCTAACTAAAAAAAAGTAGAGTTAACCCCGTCTCATGTGATCGGAAATTGGGGCTAATCACGTAGTTTTTAGGTAACTAGTTAAAAAAAATAAAAACTTTTTTTTTGCCATTTTCTTTTTTTTTAATGGTCATAAGGCAACATATAATGTACTGTAATTAATTTGTTTGCAGCGTGATTTTGTGAACTGTGTGAACAAGTGAAACAGCTCGGATGCACCTTAATGCATTAATGAATTATCGGCCTGGGACTTGAAATCGGCAGATGCTAAAAATCAGCTGAACTGGACTCAGATGCAGGAAAAAAAAAATGTGACTGTGTGTGACATGCCCACGACCTTCCTAAGGATAAGTGGATTCGAAAATGGATGGATGGATGGATGGATATTGATGACTGTTACACCCGCGTTGCAAGACGGAGAGATACCGCCGCTCGTTCCTACCGACTGCTGTCAGGCTGCTGAATAAAAAATGAATAAATAAATAAATCATAGAATTATTTAAATGATATGACAACATATGTGAATAGTACTGTGACTATTGTATTATATTGCACTTAATTATTGACCTTATCCATGTTTGTATTTATATTGCACTTAATTGAACTGTGTTTTCTTTTCTCTTCTTTCTACCCACAATCTTGCTGCTGAAGGCTGTAAATTTCCCCAGTGTGGGACAAATAAAGGATATATAATCTAATCTAATAATATAATTTGCAATATAATAATATATTTCTTCATTATGGGTGGGTTCAACAAAAGGTGGATTTATTTTTTTCTGAAACATGATGGCTACAGATTACAATGCAATCAATGCAGGGTAAAATATGAACCGTACATGCTTATAGACTATAAACAATCAATAACAATATTTTAAAAAACCTGATGTGCCAGGAAAACAAAAGACATGTTTCAAATCAGCGTTAAAAGAAAAAAAAAAGGACACATAAGGCTGTTTGCTGTTTATGTTCTATTTATAGCAAAAACTAAAAAATAAATTCTACTTTAACACCAATATGTACAATGAAAGATTTGATTTGTCGAAGAAATCTCCACGGTATGCATATTGTTACAATCATAGCGGCTGAGAAAAATGACTTTCCATTTTGTGCCTGTGATTACTTACCAAATAAAAATTGGAAACACATAATTCAAATGCAGCCGTTGTTACATTTACAAATGATTTTATTACACAGACCTTTAGGATGAGTCATAAATTATCAAAGTTCCACAAGCGCTCAAAGCCAGACAAATTTGACCTTTTTGTGTTCTCTATCTACATTTTTTTTTGCCTTTAAGATATGCTGATTTGGAGTGCATTTACTCCCAATTAACATCACACAAAGGCAACAAAATGGAGATGTTGCTTGACGCCGTTGAGAGCAGCTATTCTCCTGCTTTTCAGAACATCCGACGGGAAGTCCGTGCAGGTAATTACAGACTGCAGAAAAGAAAAAAAGCGGAGTTTTTGTATGTGTCTACCTTTGCCCATTTGATATTGAAGCTTGACTTTTCTCAAGTGATGAATCCGCTTTTTTCACTTGGCAGCTGTGGAGGAGGCAAGGGACGTCTGTACCTACTTGACACCACTGCAGCCCCTGTTTGAGGACATGGAGAGTCGAGAGTTTATCGAGGTCAAAGGTCTGATCGGTCCCCTGATGCACATGGTGTGTCTTGTGTGGGCCAACTCGGCACACTACAACACTCCACGGCGACTTATTGTTCTACTGCAAGAGATCTGCAACCTCCTCATACAGCAGGTCAGCTGGCGTTTTGTCCCCCCCCCCCCCCCCCCCCCACCAATCCCCCCAACACCTTTTTACGCCTTTTCTTTTTTTCTTTTTTTTTTTCTGCAACAAAAGCAATTTCTGAAATAAGCACCTGTCAGCAGGTGGGTGGCCAAGTGAAAACAAAGTGCAATGTTTGCCCATTAAAGACAAGTTGAGAGTATTCTCTCCCCCCCCCCCACTCCCGAAGTTCCTTAATATAAAAGCCTCATTAAAGCTTCCTTGCAGTCTTTCTTTTCAACACCGCTTTTAAGGCAGTTTCGAAGATTTGTTGCACGTTGCTCTTTCAAGAAACACCTTTGTTTGGACTTTTAGCCTGAAAGAAAAAAAAATAGACCACCACTTGAATGCCTTATGTCAGGCAGGCAACCCCCTTTTTTTGAGAACATAAAATGACCAAACCCCCACATCAATACACTGTGCACAGTCTTTCTGCACAAAAATATTGCACGGTTCTGAGGGGCACTGGGAGTGAGGTAACATTTTAGGATTGTTTGCGATTGCTATTCCATGAACTATTATGTAATTGCAATATAATGTATCTAATGTGCAGATGTGTCAGACTCATATTTGACATGGGGCTACATTTTCATTACCGTTTTCCCTTGGAGGGCTGTGATGACTGTACTGTAATGTGGGGTTTGGTAACAAGAAAATGCTTACAATATGTCTCTTATTTATTACAAATGAGAATTTTGAATTTTGGTCAAGATTTTAGCAAACATCATGAAAGTTGACATGTTTGCTTTGCTTTCGGGGGCCACATAAAATGACGTGGCGGGTCCAGATCTGGCCCCCAGGCCTGGAGTTTGACACTTGTGTACGATTGGGTGTATCTCATCCGGCTGCTTGGATAAACTGACCAACTGTTTCTCTCCCCCAAAACAGGCTCGAGGTTATTTAATACCAGAGGAACTTCTCAAAGGAGAGGTTCCTGAGAGTCTCCTGAAGGTGAAAACATGCCTTGAGATTTTGGAACACTTCAAGAGCATCTTCGAGGACCGTCGGACTAATCTGGGCCAGTACCAGAGGAACGGGAACTTGGTGAAGCCTTGGGATTTCCCCGCCACTTTAGCAGTCTCCGGACTTGATCTCTTCATCAACAGAATCATTTCCATACAGGTAAATGCGTTCAAATGGATGGCAGCCTTCAAAATGATTGCCATTCTATATCCGTATCCATTTCTTGTTTCCATCTATCGACCACATAGGACATCCTTTTGGCAGCGGTGGACTTCTTAAAGCTTGAGAAATTAGAGATTGGAGGTCTTAGGGGTCATGCGCTAAACCAGCAGGTCCAGCTCCTTCACCAGGAGTTTATGGATCGTTTCAAGATCTTAACAGAGAAGCCCTATGACTGCTTGGACCTCCAAAACAAGGTGAGGAGGAGTACTTTTGAATCTCACATTCCTGCTTGGCCTCAACTACTTCTTTTAGCGTCGCCTTTTGAGCCGCCAACCGCACAAGCAATTTCAACCCTGAACACTTCACAGCACACAAGAGGTTACTCCAAAATGCGCTATTGCGCTATTGTGACCCAAACGTCATTGTATTGATCAACCAAGTTGTTCCTGAGTAACAGCGAGAAAAGCAATTTACTTTTCTTGTAATACCCACTTGGAAAATCGAGTTAGTCGGATGTAAAAAGGAATATGCTACTGTATGTCGCCTCAATCTGATCTCACGCAGCTCAGTGGGATCTTGGCTTTGGGCCTAGCTGTAATTTCTGCCCCTGCAGGAATTTTCGAAAGATGTGTGGGACTTCAAGTTGTTAGCAGATGACACAGACCGGCGGCTAGGAGCCATCTTCTGTCAGGCTTTTGATGACGCTGCAGGATTGGAGCACGCCTTCAAGGTACTGGAATTTAATCCCACTCTTTGAAAACACATCATATCCACATGCACTGGGTCGTCTCTTCTCCATGCCTGCAGGTTCTGGATATGTTTGGGAGCTTGTTGGAGCGGCCCAGAGTCGCTCAGGATGCTTTGGACAGATACCCGCTCTTGGTTAGCATGTTTGACAAGGATCTGGACAACTGCAAAGTCCTTTACCATGAACATATTCAAATTGCAAATGAGCTGGGTAAGTTTTGTGTTAAAAGTGCACACGGATTTCTAAAACCCAAACAAACATTGGTCCCAAAAGCATGGTCTCCTAAAGCGACTTAAAAATAACAGCGATGAATATGGGAGAGACTCCACCTCACACATGACATTAATAAGAAATGAGTAGCTATGGAAAATGGATGAATGGTTGGATAGATATGAATTTTATAGCGCTATCAAGGAACCCGAGGACCCGAAACACTTCTTGCATCGGATATCATCACTGTATATTGTGCAAGTTGTCAGTGACAGTGCCTGCACTCGCCGTCTCTCTATCCTCAAAGGACACTTATTAATATGGATTTTTTTTTTTAACAGCCACTATTGCATTACTTAATCTATTTATGGCATTAAATAACTGGATTTTTGCAAACTGCGACATTTACCTTGATCAGAAATTATGCATGACAGTATAAAAATAGAAGTGACCGTATTTGAGTGACCTTTTGTCAGTGAAAAAGTTTTTGGGCAACTTGGCACCACTTTAAAACTCTTGAATGGGTGAATTAATGAATTTTACCATGTTGCCCCTTACAATCATTTCCTCCCATTGAATGTAGAATAGCAGCATAGTACAAAAGCAGTTTACAAGAACATGCAGATAGAATCGATGCTGTTCCTGTGAAAATAGCTGCCAACTTCTTCTCTGGCGTTCATTTTTAAGGAATAATGCATACCTCTCTTTCAACAATTGATCTCAGTCAACCGGACTTTATGGTAAGCGTTCGAAGAACGGTTACGCTACTTTTCCACAGGCTCTGCTCCGGTGAATAAGAATATGCCAGCGGTGGCTGGAGGGCTGATATGGGCCCAGGAACTGCAGCGGCGCATGCAGACGACCTTCTCCAAATTCAGACACCTTTCGTATCCGTGAGTGTTTGCCCATCCTCACAGACAACAGATAAGACAAACATCCACGCAGGGCACATAGAGACGGACAACCATCCGCGCTCACACTCCCACCTAGGGACAATTTAGAGCACAGGTGTCAAAGTCAAGGCCCAGGGGCCAGATCATGGCCCACCACATGATTTTATGTGGCCTGCAAAAGCAATTCATGTGACAATTTCCATGATCCTTGCCAGTCTGTACCCAAGTGTCAAATTGTGATTGTGTAATAAATAATGTTCATATTTTGGAATCGAACCCTTCACCTCTGCACTGTGAGGCGGACGTGCTAATCAGTCGACCACCGTGCCACCTCATCCAACTTAGTGAATCTCAATTTTGGAGACACAGACATACTTTGGTGAAGAAGAAATTGACCAGCCTATGTAGAGGCCTGAATGCAATCCCGTCAAATACTGTTGAGATAAACTACAACAAAAATTATGACGCAAACTGTTTTGTCCAACATGGAGGAATGGATAACATTTCCAACAGACATTTTCGCAATTCCAAACATTCCATTTTCTGTCGGTTCTATCGCCTTGCCTCCTCAATACGTATCAATATATTGCATAATGCAACATCCGCGTTACCTTTCACAACATTTCCTGAATCTAATCTTGTGAAAAACCTATTCTCTGAGACAGGTGCCTGGAGTCTGCACAAGGAGTTTGGGTCATCCAGAAGTATGAGGAGCTGATGCAACTTGTTGACAGGTCGGAGCGCCTCATCTTGCTATGTTGCATGACATGTCATCATGCAGCCATGTAAATATAGCCGAAAAAAAAAAAAAACAGAATGGCAGATTGAAAATAACTGACAGTTAAAGTATTGCCCTTACAGTATTGTTATTAGGAGGAAAGTATAGCACAGTGTTCTGCAAGGCGTCACTCACTCGCCTGGCAAGGACACACACGCCCAACGTACATGGGTTGTTTATTGCCAGAGACGTGGGGTGGGGAGATAATGAATGAATTGGACCTTCTGCTGCCTCATTGTCATTCATCTACATGGTGCAAGAATAAGATGAAATATCCTTTTTTCCTCTAAATTTGGAACTTTTGACAACATTTTGGAGAGAAATATCTAGCAGTTGTAATTACTATTTACTGGTTCATCGTTGCGGCCTTGCTTGGTTTTGTGTTGCAGTAAGACTAACGAACTCAAATGTGCCGCACTCTGACAACTGGACTGCCGTTTGTGACTGGATGTGATTTATATACTTGAGCTCAATCGCAAAATAGATGAGGACAAGTGCTATACTATAGCCTCTAATGGTTGTCAATCTATTGCAATATGTACGTATTTTCCGTACTATAAGGCGTACTTAAAAGCATTCTATTATCTAAAAATCCAACAGTGCCCCTTATAATCCGCCGCACCTTATATATTGCTCACTATTCAGATTTCTTGGACGGATTATTTTAAATGATCTGGAAAGAGCTTTGTTACAGATGCGACGGTTGTGAAAACTCAATGTAGAGAAAGCTGTATTGTATTGTATTCCCTTTAGCATAGCTCCATCTAGTTGATGCAGAACGCAACCGCAGCCACTCTTGTAGCTTCTATTCTATGCACCTTATAATGCCGTGTGTCCTATATATGAACAGTTGTAAAATAGTCCATTCATTGAAGGTATCGCCTTATTCTCCGAAGTGCCTTATAGTGAGGAAAATCCGGTAGATTGTTGATGTTATCCACCTTACACATACTGTAATCATGCGCAACATATTTATTCAGGAAGTTGAAGTCAAACGGCTAACAGTAATGAGTCTTTATGCTTTCGGTAGCCCTCAATGTCGCGAGCATGAATCAGATAACAGCCCCATCTGCTAAATCTATTTGATTTAGTTAGCTTATGAAGCAGCCCACGTGGAATGCAATGCAGACATGCAGCTCCAGGCTTGATTGATGTTCTCATTACTGGAGCACTGCTCTGTAGATGATCTCACAGGAGTCTCATAATCTCACATGCCCTGTCGCCACTCACTGATGCCAAGTGAGAAATCGCCTTTTAGACCACATTTAACATCAAAACCTACGAGATAAATCATCTCATTGAGGGGGGTGGGGGACCGTTGCTGCTTTGAATTATGAAGGAACCAATAACAGAAAGGGGGAAAAAAAAGTCTTCTGTTCCCTTCTTGCTCGCTTACAGTTATAATTCAGCTTTACACTGACCACTTAAAGCTTGTAATGCCTCAAGGTTTAATCATTGCACTAACATTACAGATGGTTTTGTTTTCAGCGCCGGCCTTCTATTTTGGACTCTTCTGTAATTGCTCCAGTCTTACAATGTGACAATGTGACATTCCTGGAATGCGTCAGAACAACACTTTGCATGTTCCCCTTTTACCGATTCACTTTTGAATGCAATATTTTACGCTCAGAAATTGGACAGGGAGATCATTTGGCCAATTATTGTGGTGAGCAACTGGGTACTGCGGCTCATATAAAGATAGTTTGATGAGAGCCACTTTTCCCCCATGGCATCAAGTGAAAATAAAAACAGAAAGAATACAGAATTGGACATAATTTCAATATCAATTTTGGGCTAGCCCGACGAAAATGTGGAAGATGCATTCAGGGCACACTGTGAGAATACAATCTAATTATGAACTTATGTAATAAATGCTGGTATTTTAAATCAAATCTGTAACCCTGTGAGCTTTCATGGAGCGTTGTGCTGAATTAATTTTGATTTTGGCCCAAACAAAACGGAAATTGTTATCAAGCTAAATGCTAGCATTTTAGCATAGCACCCTCATCATATGAGAAAGATAGAAAATTGTATTGATGAGGATTGCACATAGTTGGCCTGTAGTCGGACACAATTTCAAATAAGAATTGACACGATTCTAACATGTTTGTTGGGATGCTTTAAAAATAAATAAAGAAACAAATAAATAAATGAAATATAAAAAAGCAAGAAAGCATCCCGGGTAGAGAACAAGCAGTTTGGTAATTATTTGCACATGATATTCACATTTTTCCTCATGAAGAAATTATGGTAGAGATTTCTTCAAATGAACGTATTCAAGCATATAATTACACAAATTTTAACTTCATGAAGAACTGGAGTGAGGATCTCTATGCATCCTGCTTAACTCCCATTCCAGTTGCTGTTCAAACAATCTCTATTGCTGCCATAAGTGAATGCCATCATTATTCTAAACATTCCCGTCATGATTGTGATGGGCATCCTTACTCATTACTCCCCACTGACAAAACGCTGCATGATTTATGACCATTACCAAGACATTGGATTGCCTCTGTGTCTGCGGTGCCACTATCAGGAAATGAAGCTCACGGCAAAAATCCAATAAGGAGCGCGCAGTGCGCGCTGAAGTACTCATCATAATAGTTGCTATTTACAGATTGATATAGCCGTACGGAGGCCTGACATATTGTCTGTCCCCGCCGTCTTGCAGATGAAGCAGTGTTTATCCTCATCCAACCTCCAGCTGTCCCAACTAACCCTCCATTTCGTGCGAGCTCTCCCAGCTATTTGCCACTTCTGTGGCTAATTTAATGCAAGTGCGAAACAATGTTGAAACCCCTCTGGTACCATATTTGTGAGAACGGCTTGATGTGCCTGAAGTATATATTTTCTCGGTATTACTATTTCAGATACTGTTTCGCCCTGTACGAGGCATGGACGAGGACCCTTGACAGCAGTTGTCTTCACAACCTCAGCCTGCCCTTAATCTGCAGAGACGTGTCCTCTCGGCTGATCTCCGTCAACTTCAGCGCACAGGTTTTATTACATGGATCACGATGTACATATTGTACGGCTTACAGCAGAATGGTAGGTATGTAATGTCTTTTAAAACATGCCCCCCCCCCCCCGCTCTTCTTTAGCTTGCATCTGTGTTGAGAGAAGTGAAGTACCTGGAAGCCAGACAAACTGAGGTGATTCCTGACACCGCAGTGCAGATTTATACCACCAGATGGCAGTTGTGGCAGTACGTGTCCAGCCTGGAACTCGCTGCAGGACGATACAACAAGGTGAATATCAGAAGTGGGCATTCCGTCATATTAATGTAAGGTCCATAAGTTCCGTCAGTAACCGAGTCCGTCCTTCATTGGCAAAAAGCAATTGGCGTCAAGTACTGAATTCACACACAGTCCGTTCTGCAAGTCCGTTCTCGACTATCTAACGTCAATGATTCCGACAGCCTAAATTCTGACAGCAGCTCACTGGCTGAGTCACTGGACTGACGATTCTCACCTCTGGTTAATATACATTCTGATCTAAAATTACACATGAAGTGACTCTCATTAATAATAAAAAAACAATGTTTTTTCACAATATATTGGGAAGACAGCACAGGGTGCTAGTGGTTAGCATAACTTTCTCTCAGTTGAGAATTTACGGGGTTGGAATTGTCTTTATTATAACATGAACCCCAAAAAACGTTTATCTTTTTCCACGGGACAGATTAATGGCATTCCCCTTCATTTCACTGTGCAAAGTTGATTTGAGATGAGAATGATTCAAGTTACAAGCATAATCAGCAAATGAATTCAAGTCAAGGTGCCACTGGATGATGGAAAACAGCCGGATTGACTCGAACAGTTGTTGTTGTTCATATTGTTATTATGATTAATTTATTTCTTAAATCCATTTCACAATATTGCACTTCAGTTTGAAATCACATTTTTATCTTCTTCCCTTGACCACATATTTTAGGTGATTCAGTCTGTGCTCGACGTGGAGAATCCGCTACTCCAGAGGCAGCTCAGGGATATTGAGACCCAAATAAGAAAGGCTGAAGAAAGCCTGAGTTGGAACAGCCAAGGTGTGGACCCTCGGTGCGCACATACACACTCATAACTAAGCAAGAAAACATACTGGGACATTTAACGCTGTGAAGAAAAATACACCTTCAGTTTTTGTTCACCCCATCTTTGTCATTTGATGACAATAGCAGTAAATAGACAATGCAGTAGTTGGCAGACATGTTTGTGTTTTTGCACTCATCCATGAGGATAACTGCAAACCACCTGGAGAAGTGTTTAGAAAAGGCCATGCAATAACCAAAACAAAATGGAAAGGAGAATGGACAAGCATTGTGTTAATCACATCCATTACAGGTCACTTCGTTGAAAGTCGAAGAGCAAATCAAATAGACGCTTGTTGAAAAGAGCAATCAAAGTCTCTCTCTGAGGGTAAAAACAAAAACATCATGATCATCATCATCATTGATTCTTTTTCTTTCAATGACATTTCATGGTGCACTCTTTACAAAGCTGCTGGTGTAATTCTGGCATCCAGGCAATTTTCTTTGGGGTTACCATGGGTAACAAGTGTGTGTTGTTTTAAACCACGCGGCCATGAACTAACTGTAAAAATGTGATTGCACTGTGACTGGCAAAAAAGTCTGTTGCGGTTAAGGTCATTTGTCTTTGGCGTATCCATGCTAATGACCTAACACATCCAGACACTTTTACTCTGGAGATTTAAATAACAACCAACAACCATATTTACTCAAACTCAAACTTCTTGGCTATTCCTAGGCATTTGGCAGTATATTCAAGAGTTGCGGGATTCCATCTGTGACCTGGAGAGCCGACTCCAGAAGGCCAAAGACAATGTGGAGGAGATCCAGAATTGTATCAAGTCCTGGGCAAGCCCATTGTTTGACAGGAAGGAGGGGAAAAAAGATGCTCTGCTCAGTCTGGATGATCGGGCCGAAAGGCTGGATCGTTTTTATTGTATGATACGGTCATCCGGAGATCAGATTCATTTCCTCATGAAGGTAATAAATGCGTTTCCCTGAGTTTGAAATATTAAATTGGTGAGCAACTTGGTCAACACACCGTATTTTCTGCACTATAAGGCGCTTCGGATTGTAAGGCGCACCTTCAATGAATGGCCTATTTTAAAACTGTTTTCAGAGATAAGGCACACTGCATTATAAGGCACATAGAATAGAAGCTACAATAGTGGCTGCGGTTGCGCTAACCATCCACAAGATGGAGTTACACTAAAGGAAATACAATACAATACAGCTTTATTTCTATCTAGCCTTCGCAGTCGCTGCAGCTGCAACAAAGCTGTCAGAACTGGTCCTAAACACGGTCATGAAACATCAATACAAATGGCATTACAAAACAATAAATGAAAGACCAAAGTTATGAAGACTGCGACACCATATCTAAGGCGCATCGGATTCTAGGCTTTTGGGAAAATTGAATACTTTTCAGCGCGCCTTATAGTGCGGAAAATATAGTCATTGCAATTGTCCAATGTCCTGTTCTCAGAGGAATCTTGAGCTTTTTCTGTCAGACCCATCCTCCGATGAGTGGAAAGCTTACGAGGACTACATTGATGACATGGTTATCGATGGGTTTTATCACTGCATCGAGTGTTCACTCAAATTTTTCCTGGATAACACAGGTAAGCTAGTCCAAAAACTCCCTAGTGGTCCAAAAAAAAAAGAGTCATGATCGTTCTTTAAAGCTCAGCAAGCATTGTCGGATCTTTCAAAAGCGCTTATACAATGGCGCGGTTCTGATCCTCAGCCCTTGAAACAATGTCCAAGTGTCCTTGAGAAAGCTACTGAACCCCCATTTGCTCTTGATGCTGTGGCGACCGAATTTCTGATGCACTAAACATTCCTCTGAGCTACAGCTGATCCCAGATGACTTGAGGCAAGCGGTCGAGCGGTTTAGATTCTTCAATCATTTTTCAAGCAGACAATTCACACAAGCACACAAAGAAAACGCAACATTGTTATTGTGAGGTCACAATACGATTCATGCTCTCCTTCTTCAAACCGAAATGTAATATCAAAATGTTTTTCTATGCCCCGACACTGTAATCGATGGAGCTGAAATGTATCGGTGCCTTGAAATGCTTCTTTTAAGACATGTTTTTTTTAGGATTTTATATGTCACTAGGGTATTTCTATTGACAGCAGGCGTGGAATAGATGTGTACTTGCTTGCTGTCAAACTGGACTAGGATTCATTTCAAGAATTATTGTCACACTGCCGCGACTGTGCCCTTCCTCTCATCCCACTCTCCTCCTTTTTTTCTCTCGTTTTACACCAGCGTGCTGCATCTGTAATCAAACATGGCCCAAGTCAAGGACATTGTTTGCCATTTTTTGATTTAATTTTTTTTTTTACAATTTTGGGCGATGGTTCATATCAGGTTAAGTTTGAGAATGTCCTGAAATGAGATTCCACACGTAGAACCATGGAAGAATATAGCAGCAATGTCAGCAAAAAAGGAGGATTGCGGATTATATATGCTTCCAGTGGCTTTGTGAATAAAATATTCCCGAATTCAATAAACTGACACCCAATGTATCTGTTATGACAGGAGCTAATGTTCCCTAGAAATGTTGGAAAACTAAAACATTTGTGCCTCAAATTTTATGACAGTAACCATAATATGCATATGAATGCTTAATCTGTCTCATTCATTTTAATCCATTTCAATCCATGGCTTTGAAGTGTGTTCAAATGCTTTTTTGGAAACAGTTATCAGAGCATCTGGGAGAGATAATCTGAAATAATTGGAGACAAAATACGCATTTCTTAAGATGCCATCATTTCCGTTGATGCCTTAATTGAATAATTTTGCTGTTTGGACCAACTATCTTTCCTATCGCAGGACTTCCTGATATTTTTTTTTTTCTTTTTCAGAATAAGAACATAAAAAGAGGAAATGTTATATTTATTCACATCGTATACCGTTTCCAGATGTAAAAACGTAATATTTTGTCAATATTTAATAACCATTATTTTTCCATATACATTTCATAACTTCAGAACCCAAATTTAAAAATCATTATACATGTCACTTGACAACCATCACATTTGTGTCAGCTATGCCGAATGGAAAGCATCTGACGGATTAATCCAGAAATAATGAAAATACATTTTGGAGAAACAGGAAGTGGTCGTTCGTTTGCCCGTGGACAATGCTGGAATTAGACCCAAAGTTCTGATGTGTGAAGTGGTCGTCCGACCTGGTTGTATGGCTGAAAAACAAATCAAAACATCTCATTCGAGACCACACTGAACATCTTAATGCCTCATCACATTGATTATTTAAAACTGAGAATACCCGATATATCAGAAAATCTTGAGTTATGTCCTCCAAAATATTGTGGCCAAAGCTTCATCACTCTACCCATTGAATTTATTAACCGTAATATAACTTCCGTTCTAACCCCTTTTTTCCCCCTTCTTCATAAATATAAATACTATAAATACGTCATCTCAGCTACATTATGTCTCCTTTTACTTTGTATATGAAAGCGTTTATTCTGTTGTGTCCTCAGATGAAAAAAATGTGACAGTGCCCCTCTTTGAGGCCCAACTGATTCTGAACGTTCCTGATATGGTGTTTATACCATCTTTGGCGTTTGGAGAAAGTGAAAATTTCTTTGACCTTGTCGAGAGTCTCATCAGCGATGTGTTCAGAGTGTCGTCATTGGTGCCGCGCCTGTCCCAGCACAGTTCCTTTCCCCACTACCAGGTATTGACGTCTCATGAATTTTGTCAGTGTTTTTTTTTTTTCCCATCTCCATATTTGACCCTCTCGCAGGCTGACATGGAAGAGATGGCAGACTTGACAGAGATGCGTCTTGTCCTCATGGATCGCGTGAAGAGCGTCATGGCGACTTGCTGCGCTTTCCGCAATTCAATGGAACGCTATAGCTACCTTTATATAAATGACAGGAAGGAGTTCCTGTGCCAGTTCCTCCGATACAGCCATGTTCCGACCAGCCAGGAGATGCAGGTTCAAGATGAAAATTGCATCCCAGAGAGGCCCCCAACATTAAATCACTTTAAACAGCAAGTGGATAGGTGAGTGCTTGTTTGTGAATCATTTTACACAGTTCCTACATATTTTGAGAACATGTCTACTGACAAAGATCAAGATTTATCGCACTCTTTTTGGTCCGTTTTTTTTAAAGCTTCATTGAGTTTAGCCTTCCATATCGACTGCTGGGCCAAAGTCTACCAAGGATTGTGTGACCATGATGACTCGGCGTGGAGCTAGTGGATTGAACATGTTAAAAATCTAATGCCTTTTACGTGCAGAAGCGGAGCTCAGAATGTATACATAGTTATTTATCTATTTATTTATTTGAACGAGTGTGCGCAAAGACGGGAGTCAGCAATTAATTATCAAACTGCTGAATTACACTGAAATAGTGTTTGGATGTTGACAAATACAAATTCCAAATTGACGACTTCACCCAGCAATCAAGTATGTGCCAATTATCAGAGGCTAATGCTAAGGCTAACGCTAATCGGTGAATGCAGCAAAACTCAGTGCAGCTCTTCTTGACTTTTGAATTTGCTGTAGTGCGTTCAGACCGTCTTTCTCTTGAAAATGGATCTGAATCTTCACACAGCCTAGCCATTCTGGTCATGCATGAAGAAACTTGGTGTGGTGTTGGTTTTTGCATGAATTAGTGCCAGTGCTGCCTGGTGAAAATTAACAAAATATTGACATGGTTGATTAATATCTGCACTATTGTTTTACACTTGATGCTTGGAATGTTAGGGCCCCTGCTAGAAATAACAAAATAGAATTCTGAATAGTTCACTCTGGAGATATATTATGATCCCAAAACAGTTTCATAAAATGTCAAACTCATTTTACGGTACCCTGAAAAACAAATGTCTTGAAAATGATTTGATGACCAAAAAAAAAAAAAAAAAAATTAAATTGATGGAAAAGTGAGGACCAATGCTTTGGCTCTATCTTGTGGTGTCTTTGAGCATGTCGGAAAAAAAGCACAATCAACAAATAGGTAAAATCGCGAGTAGCAGCAACATTACAATTTGTGCAATAAAGTCCGACCCAAAGGATTGAATCCTTTTACATTTTTATTGTGATTGAGGTATGAGAAGATCTGTGAGGAGGTGCAGGATCTGGAGCCGGTCCGTGTCTTCCACGGCTGGATGCGTGTCAATGGTCGCAACATGAAGACTGCCCTGCGCGACATCATCAAGAAATGGAGTTTCATGTTCAAACAGCACCTTATTGATCATTTAACTAACAGGTGGAGACCCGACGAATGTACAATTCAACAATAAGACCTTAACTTCGTCATGCCATGCATTTTTCCATTGCTCGTTGCTATGTTGCAATGGAAATATGATTCGAAAAAAAGTGGTTTCATGATTATTGTAATCTATTCTGTAGTCTTTCAGGTCTTGAGAGTTTCATCATCACGGCTGAAACCGGCCTGGGCCAGCGAGTCGAAGAAGGAGACTATGAAACCCTGGTGGGAGTTCTGGGCCACCTGCTGGCTGTCAAGGAGAGACAGCGCGCAACAGATGACGTATTTGAACCACTGCAGCAAACCTTTGCCTTGCTTAAGGAGTATGAGCAGGAACTTCCTGATGCTGTGCACAAGCAGTTAGAAGTAAGGACCCCTGTCATTCCATCACCCCCAATGAACAATTCATCCATCTTCGCTTTTTTTCCTTCAGGAGTTGCCGGAGAAGTGGACCAATGTGAAAAAGAAGGCGGCGCTCGTCAAACAGCAAGTGGCGCCTCTGCAGGCCGTCGAAGTCGCGAATTTGCGAAGAAAGTGCGCCTCATTCGAAATGGAGCAACACACCTTCAGGGAGCATTTTCGCCACAATGGGCCCTTCAGGTAACAAAGGACTGCTTTTGTAAAAAAAAAGAATGTGCAAACGCATTGTACGTAGTGGGTTCAAATGAACTGCTTTTATACCAGACCTCCAATTTACATGGATTTCAGGATCTATTAATGACTTGAAATTAAAACTGAATTTGAAGGCATGTTTATGATTCAATGCAAGTGCTATTTATGACACTTGACCGATCTAGCGTAGAATCTCAGCTGAGGTGGTCTCCACCTCACCCAAGACCCTAATTAGGAGAACAGAAAATGTATGGAATAATTTGTTTTCTCTCTCTCTCTCTCTCTCTCTCTCTCTCTCTCTCTCTCTCTCTCTCTCTCTCTCTCTCTCTCTCTCTCTGTGTTTCATGCTGTCTATCATCCATGAGTGATATGGTCCGATACCAAATCCTGAAACCGACACTGATCATATAAATCAGCTGCAATTTCTTCAATTTTAGATCTGCTTGGTAACAATTACTTTCATAATTAATTCATTTCTTTTATGAGGATGAATCAGATTTTCAGATAAGACGTTATTTCAAATGGACAGTGTGGAAAAAGCACAATCGTCTGTTAACGTGCAGTGTTAAGAGAAGTGAGAAGGGATGCTCACTGCACACAGGCTGGTCTCTTGTTGCCCGCAGGCAGCAAATTACGGGCTGCGGCTACTCCGGTTTCTCTTTTTGTGATCGGCAATTAAAAGGCATTGATCGACAGACGCCAATCATGTACTTTTCCACAGAAATCGTCCGATCACTATCTGTGGCTGATTGATCCGAGTAAGACTAATAATGACAATGGGCGGCACGGTGGAGCTGGTTACCACGTCTGCCTCACAGTGCAGAGGTGCAGGGGTTGATTCCGGCTCCGCAGTGCGGTATCTTTGCACGAATGTCACCTTTCTCTGTGTTCTCACTCATAAAGGACTATATTATCTTGAGGCTCTCACATCTGACAAGGCTAATTGAATCTTACAATAATGACAAGTAATTCTTTGGTTGAGGCGCTCGCGCCTCGTCCGTAATAGCTAATTGTCGCATTAGTTATGTGTGTAATTGATCTCCTCATTGCGCAGCGATTAGATCCCATTGATGTTTTGGAAATCGTTTTTAATTAGTAGTTTGCAATTTGCGATGAGGAAAAAGCCAGTCGTGTAACGCCGCACGCAAGGGCGTTATTATCGAGACCTCCACCAGGGTTAACGCGAACCCGTTTGCATTCATTCAGATTCGACAGCAAGAATCCTCACCAGATGTTAGACACATTTCACCGGCAGATCCAGGAACAGGAGGCGGTGATGGCCTCTCTGGTGGAATCCGCCAGCTTGTTCGAGGTGACCGTCTCTGAATACAAACAGCTTCGCCAATGCAGGTAAAAGACCCCAAGGAGACTTGCAAAAAAAAAAAAAAAAAGCACCATTCTATGCCAAACGCGGCACTAACGAGCAATTAAATCAGTGACCCTTTCTTTATATTCACACTCTGAATATGGTTGGTTTCACTTTATCTGCTGTCATTCATCCCCGAGGCGTGAGGTGGGCCTGCTGAAGGAGCTGTGGGACATGATCACTGTTGTGGAATCCAGCATGGCGGAATGGAAAACGACTCCCTGGGGGGACATTCACGTGGAGGACATGGAGGTTGAGTGCAAACGCTTCTCAAAAGATATTCGAGGGATGGATAAGGAGGTGAGGCAATACATTGGCGAGACTAATCGGATGGCTAATGTAACCTAAAGCTGTGAAAATAGCCAACCTGCTCAGCATGTCAAGGCGAGCGATTTCCTATTACCCATAACTGACCAAATATGCTTCCTATCCAATTACTCATCTCAATCAAAGGTATTCAATAAGTTATTTACAGATCTATTTTAATACTGCACATATTGAATAAAGGGATCACCGCAAAAGAAATATTGTAACATCTTCAGAATATTACCGACACAATTTAGAAGAATTAATTTCCAGTATTTAAAATTCCAGTCATACTTAAGAAAAAAACAAAACCAAAAAAAAAAAAAAAATACTGGTGAAGGCTGCCGAAAATACAACAGTTCTTCACTGTCTCGAGCAGTATTTTTTGTTCTTCTTTTTAATTCTACCATGTACTCCAACAGCTAGCATCAGAGTTGCTTGGCCCTTTTTTTTTTTTTTTTTAATCTCTCGCATTTTTACTGCCACTTGTTGATGTAGTTAATAACGACTATTCCATAAGTAAGACATAATGACTGGCACATGACAGACATCCAGCAGGGACTGTAAATAATAAGTAAATCACCCCCCCAAAAAAATGCCAAACCGTAGTAAAGGAATACAGACAATTTTTTTTGATGGCGGCGCGGGCACCCGCAGCGGCTCCTCTTGTTGTATGTTGTCTTAAGAGGGAAGAAATTTCATCTGTGCTGTATGTTGCACATACATCACATTTGACAATAAAGTCGTACTTGACCTGACAACTTTATTTATAATCCATGTGCCAATTGAATCATTGCTTTTTTATTAAATTTAAAAGGCTTCGAAAAAACAGAAGGACATATGGACTGGGAAGTCTACACATAGCTGCTTTATTTCAACCCCAAGCATCACAACAGCAAAATGGGTCCGACACCCTGTACTGGTTGTCTGTCAGTCTCAGTGCACACAAACAGCCATCCACAGAGTCACACGGACGGTCTTCAATGATACAACTTCACCAGAAGGAAAAAAAAAAAAAAAATTCTCGCCCTTCACACTGATGATCGATAGACAACAGCATTTGATGTTTAGTCAGTCATGGAGCTACTATGAACGGAATTAAGCTATGGGACTTCGGGATTCCCTCGAGGTTTTTTTTTTTTTTAACGGAATTAAGCTATGGGACTTTGGGATTCCCTCGAGGTTTTTTTTTTTATTTTATTCCAACTTCAAATGGATTAACAAAACCAAAGAAGATCATTACAAGCTTTTGTACTTGTTGCTCTCTGCTGACACTTGTAGATTAGAGCGTGGGAGGCCTTCGCCGGTTTGGAGAAGAGGGTAAAGAACCTCCTCATCTCCCTGCGGGCGGTGGCAGAGCTGCAGAATCCAGCCATACGAGTCAGGCACTGGCATCAGTTAATGGCGGCGACCGGAGTTCGTTTCAATGTGGACCAGGTTTGCGATCCATTCTCTTTCACGGTGAATTTTGATCGTATAGACCAGAGGTCCACAACCCAAAATATTGAAAGAGCCACATTGGACCAAAACAACCCAAAAAACAAATATGGCTGGAGCCGCAAAAAATTAAATGTAAGCCTTACATTGAAGGCAATACATGCTGTATGAATCTATATTAGTGATATTTGCCTCCTGTCAAAATGACTACGTTGGCTACAAATAGCCTTCACGATTAAATGTTTTTCTGTTCCCTGCAATGCATCCTGTAGAGAAGGGGTGCCCAACCTTTTTTGACGGAAAACGTTAAGAATGTTTGTGTCATGTTTGTCCTCCTGCAGAAACCATATTAAAACAAAAATATATTTCCCTCCCCCGTCTTTTTCCATCTTCAAACATTTTTGCAAAAGCTCCAGGGAACCGCTGGGGTGGCGCTAAATAGCCGCACGCGGCTCTGGAGCCGCGGGTTGCCGACCTCCGGTCCAGACACTGTTTTCATTCATGGGTGATTGTTTTCACTCGATATTGATATTGTTGATTGAAGTGAATTTCAGAACGCAGCCCTCATCAAAATCAGACCAATTCGAAAGTCTCCGTCGTCATGGAAATTTTGCTCAATCTGTGATGCGTCATGTTAATATGCTTGGCGTGGAAGAGTATGTTTAGTATGTTTTCAGCTTCCAGGAAATATACAGCTCTTTTCAACTGTACCAATTTGTCCATATTCTCCTCACAATCCTTATTGCGGAAACACAAAGCAAAGCGCACTTTGATGCTGGGCGGATCCGATTCCTTGCGAGGTGCGAATTGCTGACCGCTCGGGAAGTTTTGCCTCACAACGGTTCAACCTCAGTGTGTTTGTGCAATGTTTTCGGAATGCTCCCCCGCCACCTGCAAATGTTTTCGAATCACACAGCCTTTTGAGGCATTTGAATTTCCAGCCTATGGGTACAAAAGGTTATTGGGTATTGTGCACAGGAAACCACTCTTGCCGATCTGCTGCAACTAAACCTGCACTGTTTCGAAGAGGAGGTGAGAGGGATCGTAGACAAGGCCGTGAAAGAGATGGCAATGGAGAAAGTTCTCTCGGAGCTCAACTCCACATGGACAGGTCCGGCCTTAACTTGCGCTGTGGGACTTTTAGCCTCCTTTCCAAAGTATTTCTTCGACTGACATCCCCCCCACCTCCCTCTAATCCATTCACAGGTATGCAGTTCCAATACGAACCCCACCATCGGACCCAAATCCCCCTGCTGAGTTCAGACGAGGAGCTGATCGAGACGCTGGAAGACAACCAGGTCCAGCTGCAGAACCTAATTTCCTCCAAGTACATTGCCCACTTCTTGGATGAAGTTTCATCTTGGCAGACGAAACTGTCCGTGGTCGACTCTGTCATCTCCATCTGGTTTGAGGTGCAACGCACGTGGACTCACCTGGAGAGCATCTTCATTGGCTCCGAGGACATTCGCTCACAGCTGCCGGAGGTGACCAAGAGATTCCCTCTTAACTTTTCACGGTTGATTCAGCAGCGAGTCTCGATATATCACCGTAGCTTTTGTCTTCGCCATGTAAACCGAGATAAAGTCATCATTGTGGCTTTTAACCAAGAATCCATTAATCGGCGCACAGTGCGAGTTTTAGAGCCGCGCTTACTCGACTTCGAATGGCTCCCATGATATCAAGGCTGAGCCTCTACCCAGATGTTTATTATTATACGTTTTAATTCTACCTCTCTCATGTGGAAAACTAAATCCCTTGGCGGTGTTCCCTCGTGGAATTTTCTTGCAGGACTCGAAGCGCTTCAAAGGGATTGATGCCGATTTCAAAGAGTTGGCGAACTCGGTGCATCAAACGCCCAATGTTGTCGAAGCCACCAATAAACCCGGTCTGTTTGACAAACTGGAGAACATCCAGTGCAGGTGAGGGTGAAGCCAATTTGAACGGTTGTGTCGTTTCCACCCCTTTTTTTTAAAATTTTTAATCCGTTCTGAAGCGTAATGTGCAGAAGGTTCTCACATGAATGCACAAACCTGCTCACTCTCTGGACATTGCGTTTCCCTTTACAGGCTTTCCCTTTGTGAAAAGGCTCTGGCAGATTATCTGGACATCAAGCGGCTAGCCTTCCCTCGCTTTTACTTCATCTCATCCGCGGATCTCTTGGACATTCTTTCAAATGGGACCAACCCACACCAGGTGGCTGCATTCTGATTTTTTTGCGCAAAATGGCAAATTTTACAAGTTTTCAGTGGGGGGTAAAAAAATAGTTCACTGCAGCCTTTTAGCTTTACGACTGACCTCAAACTGAGCTCAATAACATGATCAGGCAGTCCTGCAGTAATCACAGCAACAAAAAAAAAAAAAAAAATGAATAATGTCAAAGTTGTTTTCCACGACTCCAAACCCCAATTCCATTGAAGTTGGGGGCACTGAGTAAAACCTGCATAAAAATGGAATAGAACAATTTGCAAATCCTTTTCGTGACTCCAAACCCCAATTCCATTGAAGTTTGGGGCACTGAGTAAAACCTAAATAAAAATGGAATAGAACAATTTGCAAATCCTTTTCAACCTATATTCATTCACTCATACACATTCGGAAGACACTACAAATTTTATGCGTGCGAAAGGACACGACGGAAGAACATCACAACACCACCTCCGCCTTCTGGCATGCACACACAATGCAATTCCACGCAACCTTCCATCAGCCTGAGTGACTGCCGTAATTCCCGGACTGTAAACCACATTTTTTTTCCCCCCAAAACTTTGAACTATGCCGTTTTTACTGTGGCACGGTGTATTTATGAATTTTGACTGACGAGTTTTAAGCCGTCAATAGTCTTGTCACATCTGACTATATTACCGAACATGTCGCAGTGGACTATTGAGTCTGCCCTCATCTTGAATATTCACCAGCCATTTGCAGTTGGAGTGCACGCATATGACGGCAGAGCGGGCTGCCTGAGGAGAAAAATGCAGAAGTCTGGTTGCGTAGCGGTGCGCTGCTGTTTAGGGAGCAATCGAGAGCGAAAAGAAGAATCTTGACTTGAGTTTTATGAGCGTAGGGAGCGAGTGCCATAAATACAGCCATCTCTGCAGCGCCACCTTTGTCTTCTTGTTTGTTTAGCAAGCAAATTTAACTCTTGCGTCTTTGAATCAAATGTGACTTGTAGACCGGAAATTACAGTATTAAAAAAAAAAAAAAAGCTTATTTTAATTTAATTTTAATTTTAATCGGGGTTGTCAAGATATGGTATTACTAGGATCAGGACGTTTATGCCAATGTGGCCTGTTGCAGCAGCCCTGTTTCGCAAATGTTGGTTGGTGTGAAAAATGTCATCACTGTTGGGGAAATATATTTTTAAAATACTAAGATTCTCACACACTATATATTCAAGACCAGCTACTGGCTTTGCCAGCTTCTTGCCCGAGTGCACGCCGAGCACCAGCGAGGATTCCCCTGGAGCTTGGACTGAGATGAACACAGTCACTGGGATGCAAAGCCCGCATAAAAGTGCAAGCGAGAAAGAAAATGTCCAAGTCCTCTGTTTCAATTTCTGTTATGGGGAATGTCAAGTTTTTGGTAACAGCGGCGGATGAGCATAACACACTGACACGCTGTCTCATACTTTACTGAGACATGACGTTAGTGTGTCCCGACCTGATTTCAAAATGGTGCAGTCGAACAGAGATTTGACTCGTAAGCATTCAAAACAATGTAAGGCGGGACTGCTTATTTTGTGAACGCGACTTGGTATTGAACTGCTAGCTATGGTAAATATGTCCATCTATCCACCAACGGAATTCTCTTCTGTCATTACGACTGTGTACATTCTGCCATCTGCTCCAGAGGCACAGCATCGTGATACAATTCATGCAGCCGTTGCCAGGTTACAGAGCCTGCACCCAGATGCTCTCATCCTCATTCTTTTAGTCACAGCAGTTTAGACACTATGCTGCCCCCTTTTCACCAGTATGTCCACTGGACAGTTAAACATGGACTTGCTCTCTGCGGACTCCAGGTTTCATGCCTAGAAAGAGCACCACATATGTCCTCATAGCCCTGAGAATTCAGATCCAAGTCAGAAAGGGCTGTATTGTGGCTCTGGAGTGGCTAGGACACAATTTAGACTCGTACAATACTTGTATGGGAACAGGAAGATGGTGAGGTGTGTTTTCTGGAGTGACAGAAGGCTTCGAGATGGAGGTGGGACTGCCCCGAGACGCTTCTTGTTTGCAAATGGTGATGGACAGATTGACATTTGAGGTCAGACAGGAGTCTTCTCTGGCTATGTTTGAAGATGACATTGTACACTGCACTGAGAGTCGGGAGCAGGTTAGTGTGAACCTCGAGAGGTGGAGTTATGGATTGGATTGGCAGCGCTACAATACATGTGCGTGAATAAACGGGAGGGCAGTGGAATGGTGAGGTTACAAAGAGCAGAGCTGTCGGAGGGCTGTCAACTCTTGAGAGCAATGGGGAGTGTGAAAGAAAGGTTACGGCAGAAGGTACAGAGGAGAAGGAGAGACGGCAAAGCATGATTGATGACCCTTGAATGGGTCAAGCCAAAAGGGGGGAACAAAACCCAACAAAGTATAAACACTTTACAGTGCTGTACATTATTGTAAATGATCATTATTCCTCTTTGTATCATGATGCACAGTCTTATCATCAGTATTGTGTACTAGAATTTTCCACTGGTTCAGCTTTTATTCCTGGACAGTTTCTGAGCAGCGTTCTGAGTCAACTTGTTGTAGTACCACGAGCTTCCACACTGAGGCGATGTTGCTCATGGTTTTCCAGCTGACATTCTGCATTCTGTCAAGACAATTTTGCGACCCATTCCAGCCCCGGAGAAAGTCAACTCTAAATGATATTTTTCTTCGAAAATGTCTGAGATCAAACAACACAACATGCCTTTCTATTTGTAAACTATGATAAAACATTTGCATGACTGAGCTCCTTGTCTGTACCTTGAACCTTGATTTACGTTGTCTGATATTTTTCAGGTGCAGAGGCATCTGTCCAAGCTATTTGACAGCATGGCAAAAATGCAATTCGAAGCAGATGAAAAGGGGTCTCCTTCTAAGACTGGTCTGGGCATGTATAGCAAAGAGGACGAGTACGTCCCTTTTAATCAACCCTGCGACTGCTCTGGACAGGTATAATCTAATTCTAATGTTGTTTTCATGTCTTATAAATTGCTTCGAGGGCGAGTTAAATTTTGATTAGGCAATTACTACGAAATCGCTGTGGCTGTAACTGAATAATAATGCACGTGCATACATGCACACATGCACAGACAGTGCGTGTGTGTGTGTGTGTGTGTGTGTGTACAGATTATTATTATTATTATGATTTTTTTTTTAAGGGGATCATATATGTCCCAATCGGGAATGTACATAATTTCATGCGCCCTCATCCTGCTTGGCGATTAGTTTATTAGTCAGGTCTTCCTGCCTTATACGTATATACATACAATGTATGGCCTGCAATGACAACTGCAGGGAAAAAAAGTATGTGAAACCTTTGGAAATACTTTCGATTTTCATATGAATTGTTCAGAACATGTCAAGTCAAAACATTAGAACTAACGACTATCAAACCGTACGAAGAATTATATTTTGGGCATATTATTAGTAAGAATTATTTTTTGGGATGGACCATGTCAGCATTTACAGTGCAGGGTGGAAAAAGATGTGAACCCTTTGACGAAGGAGTTCTCCAAGTGCTAATCGGACTCAGCCAACCCAGGGGTCCAATCAATGTCACGAGACTGGTGGTGTCGGTGACGGATGCCTTGCCCTAATAAAACACACACACACACACACACACACACACACACACACACACACACACACACACACACACCAGTTTTGAGTGTCTATCCTCAAGAAGCATTGACCAGTGTAAACCATTCCTGGCACAAAATACCAATAGTTAAGAACTGCATGACCCTGTAAAAGGGTTATAAAATTATCTCTTAAAGCTGTGCCTCCCACGTTGCTACTGGCAAACTTGTGTGGACAGAGGTAACCGAGGTTGAGTTGTTTGAAAGGCTTTGTGTGAAACTAAAAAGGCACACCACACCAATATAAAAAAAACCTCATCCCAACTGTAAAGCATGATGGAGGAGCCTGGTGGTTTGGAACTGCTTTGCCGCCCCTGGGTCTGTTGTCATTGATGAAAAAAATGAATTATCAAGTTTATCAAGGCATTTTGCAGGAGAACATAAGACCATCTGTCTGCCAATTGAAGCTTAACAGAAGATGAGTGATGCAACAGAACAGCGGCCCAGAGGACATACGTGAATCCAATGAATGGCCTCGACAGAAGAAAATATGCCTTTTGTAGTGGCTCAGTCAGAGCCCTGACCTCAACATGAGCGCTGCGCTTTGGCATGAACTCAAGAGATTCGCAACGCGCATCCCAAGATGGTCAAAAATTCCTCTTAGTGTTCAGTAAAAATATGGAAACATACACCGTATTTTCCGCACCATAAGGCACACCTAAAATCATTAAATTTTCTCAGTGCGCCCTATAATCCGATGCACCTTATATATGGTGTCACAGTCTATGTGCCTTTTTGTTGAATTATCTTCATAACTTTTTGTCTTTCATTTATTCTTTCGTAATCCCATTTATATTTATATGTTTCATGTCCGTGTTTGTGACCAATTCTTATTGTTAGAGCTGCAGTGGTTGTGAAGGCTCTATATGAAGCTGTATTGTATTGTATTGTATTCACTTTAGCATACCACCATCTACTGAATGCATAGCATGACCGAAGCCACTATTGTATGTTAGATTCTATGCACCTTATAACGCTGTGCGCCCGATATATTTTTAGTGCAAAAAATACGGTCCTTCTTTGCATGGTATAAGCTTAAGACAACTGGATTTCTGATTGTGATGGACAGGAAGATGAGATCATATTTCATGAGCGTTTATTCAGAAAGACGAATTGTTCGAAGGGGTGTGAAGATTTTCTTGTGTGTGTGTGTTTTTTTTGTATAAGGTGGAGGTGTGGTTGAACCAGGTTCTGGAATCCATGCGTTCCACTGTTCGTCATGAGATGACCGAGTCAGTGGCCACCTATGAGGATAACCCCAGAGAGCAGTGGTTGTTTGATTATCCAGCTCAGGTAAAATGATGACATGAAGCCTAACACTCCCAAAATTAAACACATATGCAAAGTCTAATGGGATCCTTTACTTTTGTTGTTTCAAATGTTCTGCCTTTGCAAAGATTTGTTTTGCTTAAAATGCCAGAAATGTATTTATTACTCGGCAAGATATTCTATTGATCAGATTAGTGAGGGAGGTGTTATCTGTCAGTGATGGCTGATGACCTTATTTGATGATAAAAATGATTCATACCTTACATCTAAAGTGAATCCGATGGATTGCTCACAACATTTATCATTGTAGGGTAAGCACGAAGAACAAAGGTACTTTTCAGATTAACGACACAAGATACATTTATTTGCCGTTCCAGAAAACTGGAAATGTAGGATTTAACACGAGCAAAAATGATCGGGATGATTGATAACGGCCAACTTTGCCAAGACTAATTAATGTAAAATATCGATTAAAAAAAAAAGAATGAAGTCACGGCTTATTTGCATGAGACCCAGCTACCACGTCAAAACGGATTCATTTCAACGCGACGAACGCTACGCTGTATTGTTTGATTCTTGTTGACTTTGAATCAAAGCGGATCAGATATTTTCTTAACACACATGGGAACCGCAACTCGTCAAAAGCTTGAGAACCAGCAAAAAAAATTTCCAATGTTCATAATGCTAATTTCCCGAAAGTTATAATTAAATATAATGACAGGAAGGTAAACAACATCATCCGTTCAGCCACATCGAAGCTGGAACCAATCCCAGCTGACTTTGGGTGAGAGCCAGTACAGTACAGCTTCGACTGTCACTCACAGGGCGTCTGTGGAAATATCATACACCCGATGAGAATAATTAAACATGCCGAAAAAGTTTCGGAAGTCTATTAGAATATTTGCCTGCGGTTGAAATGTTTGATTTCAAGCAAGGGGATTTTTCAGGAAGTGTACAGCAACAGGGATCCCGCTGTGGCCGCCTGCTCTCTTAAACCTCAATACTGCGCCGTCGTCCCCACGCCGCGATATTGATGCTTCGAGTATCAGAAACATTCTGTCATCATCATGGATTGGGTTGGCGAAGTTAGCTGTCATCTTATCAAGGCACCTTGTTGGAGAACTGCCAAAATGTTGTCTAATTACTTTTCAGATAATTACCCGGGCGGCGACAGCGACTGCATTGTCTTGTCTTTTATCTGTACCCCATTTTAGCTCCTAACTGCATCGCGCTGCACATGCGCATCTTTACATTCTTGTTCTTTATAAAAACAACGAAAATATTCGTCATCTGACATGTCATGCGTAAATCACCGCACCCATCTATAAACCGGTCATGCAAATGAAGTGCTGATCACGCTTACCATTTTTAATGCCGACCCCAAAGTAGAAATGCCTTCTCGAGTTAATTATGTGACCCCCTCCCCCACCCACACCCCCCCACCATAAAACAAAATGAGTTAGCGAATATTTTATGACGTGATTAATTTGCATCCTTTACTAACAAGAACACTTCTGCCCTTTTCTTTGGCCTATTTTAAAATTCAGGAGAGCATGACTTATGAATACAAATGTACCTCAGATGATTTTTTTTTTTTTTTTCCGACTAGGGGTGTTCATCAAGTGACACTTTTCCAGCTGTGACATACATCAACGCTCTCATCCTAAGTGGTAGACAAAACACGTTTTTGGTTTTTTTTTTCTATTTAGAGCGATCAGGAATCAAATTTCTGCTTTGAATGAGCAACCGGAAGGAAATGAAATACGTTGGGTCAAATGCAACCATGTGGTAGCATTTATGGAAGCGACCTTCCCAAAAGATTCATTAAAAAAAAAAAACACTCAAGACTGGGTGCTATTAATTTTGTATGCAATGAAAAGAACCCGTAAAAGCACCATTTTTATGCGTGAAGCATATGGACATCCATAATGTTCATATAAACTGTCTATTTTTGGCTAACCTCCCACTTAAGTTTCACCTTCAGTCGCTTTTGTTTTCAAAAAAATAAAAATCACACGAACGTACGGGCCTCATCAAACAGTGATCATGTTTTCTGTGTCTGCTTTCAAGGTGGCACTTACCTGCACTCAGATCTGGTGGACAAGCGACGTGGGAATGGCTTTTGCCCGTCTGGAGGAAGGCAACGACGGCGCTCTCAAGGAGTATTATAAGAAACAGGTGTCTCAGCTAAACACCCTCATTTCTATGCTGATTGGCCAGCTTTCACCTGGAGATCGCCAGAAGGTCATGACCATCTGTACAATCGACGTTCACGCCAGAGATGTGGTTGCCAAGATGATTGCGCAGAAGGTGAAAATGAGACTTTTGTCAATCTTTTAGAATTTACGGCATATGCATGATGATCTGGAGTCTGTTTCTCAGACCGTTTCTATTTATAGCCGTGGATCATAGATCTGTTTCGATAAATCCCAATTTTTGACAAGGTCGCATAGCCTTACCGTGTTTCCGAAAAGAAAATGCCCTTGAATTGGAGTCTTTTAAAAAGACAACAAGCCAAACATACTCATAAACGAAACAGGATATTGTCTCCGGACCAACAAGATTATCAATGTGGAGGACAAAATCCAATCGAGAATTTGACTGAAATTAGTTCAGTGATTCACAGGAAAGCACTTGATTTTTTTTTCCCAATGTTTAAGCTCTTAAAACAATATTGAGACACTACTCTCTCATATTTTCCGCACTAAAAGGCACACCTAAAAGCCTTCCATTTTCTTAAAAGCTCACAGCACGCCTTAAAATCCGATGCGCCTTGTGCCTGGTCGTTACGGTAATATGTCAACCCCAAAATGGCTACTTGCTAGAGACATGCTGACAACGCAGAGTTCAAACTTAAGGTGATCGGGTTACGCAGTTGAACACGGAAATAGAGCGGCGGCAAGAGAGTTCAACGTTAACGAGTCAATGTTGTAACTTGCTATTGGTTAAGTGAACAGTGTCATTGCTTTATTAAATACGTTTTACTGACATCTGATCGTTCTGTTGGCATTTCCTTGAGCGTAGCTCCATCTAGTGGCTGCATTGTAGATTGCGTCTTATAACGCGGTGCGCCCAATGTATGAAATAAAAATTACAAAATAGGCCTTTCATTGAAGGTCCGCCTCCTTATCCAGCGCGCCTTTTAATGTGGACAATACGGTATGACATTAACCCTTTCCTGCACCCTGTAACCTGATAAACTGTCCACTGTAGTGACCTCTGTCCCTCAAAGAGTTAATCCGACACTAGCTATGAGCATTGAATAACGCACCCATTAAATCCATGCAAGGTACAATATGTCACAAGAGACATAATTAGTGAGGACTAATACAATCTTATTTGGGATTTTTTTCCACCAATTTGTGGCTTTCTTTTCACTTGCTTTTTTTTTAATTTTTTTTATCCCAGGTGGAGAATTCTCAGGCGTTCGTGTGGCTTTCACAGCTGAGGCACCGTTGGGATGACAAGGAGAGGCATTGTTTTGCAAATATCTGCGATGCCCAATTTTGCTACTCCTATGAGTACCTGGGCAACACGCCACGGCTCGTCATCACGCCTCTCACAGACAGGTACATTTGGGTTTTTTGCTGTGTTCACGCTTTAACAACTGCACTGTCGTGATTGTTTCTGACATGGATACGAATTTGGGCCCGGTTGACAAACTGCTTGTCCATTTTATTTCCGTTATTTATTTTTTTTTGTTTTCCAAGTGACGTCCATTTATGAATAAAAACACTGAATGCTTTTAATCTCACCATACTGTACGACATTTGCGATTATATCCGACTTCAACAGGCAATATCTTTTTGGCGCTAATGTCGGTATTGTGCTGCTCGTCTTGTTGAGAATCCAATTTTTCGACCTTTGTTGCTGTTGCATTTTTCTATTAACTCATTCACTCCCAAATACGTTTTTAAACATCGTTTCAGACTTGGTCCAGAATTGGCTGGGACTGAATGAGTTTTAATTTGTACATTTTTGGGGGGTCGATCACACTGTTCCAAGACACAAAAAAAAAGATTCCAGTAATCTTCTTATGGATCACAACGGACATCCGTGGCAAGCAAAAGCGTTTGGATTGACTCACCTGGGGGGGGACTTGACCAACATTTTGTTTGTTCCCGAGCACGTGTTTTCACAGGCTTCCTGATAAAGTTTTAACAACACAGAGATAAATACCTGCCTCGGAGAGCCATTTGGCAAACGGAAGAGTGTGATTATGCATCTCCAGATCAGCCAGATTGACCCGGTATTCCATTTGAAGCCAGAATAAAGCAGAAACAATGGGCTTTGATGTCCAGATCAGCAGGCACTGTTGCGAGAATTCACCATATGCTGCGTGCCCTTGCTGGGAGCCACGGTGTTCATTTTGATAATGGATCATGAATGAAGGGCCATTTTGTCGAACGATTTCATCCAAAACTTGAGAAACAGCTAAAAAGCGTGTTTGCCGCACTGCAGGGGGAAACCGTGCATATCCCAAATCATCGTTCTTTGGACGACACGGAACATGCAGTACATCCAATGAACGGGATTATATTTTATTTAAAAAAAAATATATATATTAGGCACCTTCAGCAGATTAAAGATAGCTAAACAAAAAAACAACACTCATTTAAAAATGGACAATACAAGTGTTCTGGCTTCACCAAAATCATTGGCAAGGTATATTGACGACATGGCTAAGAACTCAAAAGAGAAATAAGAGTAAAACGTTTCAGAATCCCGGCTTTTATTTCACGGTACTTACATCTAGATGTGTGAAACACATTAGGACAGGGCACCTTTTGTTTGATGCCACCCGTTTTTCAATTAAGTAAAAAAAAAATATTGGAACAAACATTAAAAGAATAATATTTTAATATTTGGTGGATACAGCTGCATCAAGTGTTCACCAGACTGTTGCATTCTTCATTTCAAATGCTTTTCCAGGCCTTTACTGCAGCCCCTCTCAGTTCTTGTTTCTATTTCTGGGGGTTTCTCTCACGAATCTCCTTTTCAGGTGATATGACAAGTATATTTCCTCTTTCCAAGTTTTCTTAGAAAGAGGGTTGGGATACCTTCACCCTTGCCCTGTGGACGTTGGCAGTGATGTCACGGACTGTTGTCCTTGGGTGTTTCTTCACAGCTCTGACGCGATTTGTTTGATGTCTGTTGCTCAGGTCGTTTCTTCCTTTTGTCAGGACATTCCAAATTGTTGTATCGACTATGACCAAAGTTGATGCTGCGGCTGTAATCGATTTTCCGTCTTCTCTCAGCTTCAACATGGTTTGCTTTTCTTCCCATCGACAGCACCTCTGGTCCTCATGTTTGCTGAACAGCACATCGGAATTTTCACAAGTCAAACCCAAAGCCCAAAGTAAAATTCAAGCAGTCGATCAAAAAAGGGCGACACATGAGCGACTAATTCCAAACACCCATCAGTCACATGTTTCAATACTTTTGCTCACTTGAAAAAGTGGGCGGCGTCACATCAAAAGATGCTCTGTCCTGAGTTGTTTGTTCTTGATGTACACAAATACAAAAATAAGTAGCCAACCACAATCGTGCATTTGTTGTGTCGCTTTTCTGTGAGACACCGTATGACGCCCCCCCCCCCCTCCAAAAGATGCATTTTGCTTTGTGGCGACCTTTAAATGTAATGTCAGGAAGTACGGGCGAGTCTTTGTTTGTCATTTTCTCTCTCAGTATTAAAGTTACACCCCCCCCTGTTAAAACCCGAGAGAAAATGTCAGTTGAAAACTGGAATTATTTGCGTTTAATAGTTTTCCCGCTGTCAAACAAAAGCATCCCATTATTAAACATGAATACGGTATCACCTAAAGCGGCGCTCGCCAGCCTTCTTGAAGCCGAGAGCCGTTTCTCGAATACTGATGAGTGCAAAAGTGCTACCACTTTGATACACCTTTTTAAAAAAAACGCATTTGCTCAAACCGCTTTCTTTCCGGGTTGTTGTGACTTCGCGATAATTATATCTGTGGGGGCATTGATCCTGTTAACAATGTCTCACTACATATCAAATGACCAACCAGTGATTAACCAAATACGAAACGGATCAATATGCAGCTATTTATTCCGACAATTCTCTGTGACTGGTTCATTTTTAACCCTTTCATGCACCCTGTAACCTGATAACATGATAAGCCGTCCACCTTAGTAACCGCTGTCCCTCAAAGGGGTGAAATTAAAGCAATCACTTAATTCAATCAACAGCAGCAGAAAAAAATATCAGCACCATTTTCCAGCCCAAGTTTGAAAGCCGTGGCGTCGTGTCAGAAATATTTTACTGACATGTACAGTGGTACCTCTACTTACGAAAGTCTCTTCATACGAATTTTTCAAGTTACAAAACGTCTCAACAGAAAAATATTGCCTCTTGTTACGAAAGAAATTTCAAGATACGAAAGGTAAAAATACGTTATGGGTTGTTACTCCCAGCTATGAGTTTCCTTGAGCGCAACATACTTATAGCTGCTCTGCCATACGCTACTCCCGAGCATCATCCTGGTATCCCATTGACTAAGAGGGACTTCTACCGTATGTGTCCATATGTGTAGATCGATCAACACTGCGTCCTCGTCACTCGCCCCTCGGGCCACGTGGTGTTCCGATAGCGAATGTGAATCAGCCAGAAAAAACGTTCACCAGTCAGATCGCTCACTATGCTCATGTTTGCCATGGACATTTCCTAAGGATTCTTAAAGCCAACAAAAGCAAACATCCTTGGGTCAGTTTTTTGCAAAACACGAGGCAAAAACCACTTCTGAGAGAGTACATGTACTAAAGAGGGCAAAAAACGATGTGGATGCAGTCAAAAGTTAAATCGCCATCATTTTTCTTCTTTGTTTTTTACATTATGCACAACTCTCCTTTATTGTGCAATAATCTAATTGTAGCATGTATTTGTTACATATTTTGATGCATTTTTATGCTTTAGAAAACATTTATATCTGAAATTTGGGGTTTTGGAACGGATTAGGGCATTTACATGGAAAACGCATCCCTACAAATTTTTCTCGTTAAGAACCAATTAACTTCGTCAGTAGAGGTACCACTGTACACACAAAGCGAATGCAGAGAAACGCAGGGGTAGAGTGATGATTCACGGGGATGACTGATATATCGCCGTTTTCTTTTGGGATGGATTTAAAAGCAGTCAAAGTCCAGCTTCTGAGATGACAGAATGGGAGATTTCTGCACATATTTCGTGGGACAAAGCCTGTTGGCACTCGTATTTGGTTGATACACTGTCTCCAGATGGGATCATTTGTCTTCTCCCATTTTCTGTCTCCGTTGATGCTTTTCAATATTACCCACCCACCCCCCCCAACCCTCTTCCATACATCATTTATTAACCAGCAACTCATTAAAATGACTGCTCCACTGCTATCGAAAGCAAGCCATTGGTTGTGTTTATCACCCGGATCGATAATGCCTTGATTGTCTCCATCAGTTCACATTCATTCCGCTGCTGCTTTTATTGACATGAAACTGGTCAACTGTTTGTTAGTACCGGCAGGTCCTGTCGGAGGAGAAATCACGGCTATTGCTAATCAGCTTGTATGTTAATCAAAGAGCACAGAAGCTGATTCCATTATCATACAATGAGGTTATGTCCAATGACTGCTCAGCGAACGCAGGGAAACTCTTCTGCTCATAAGAATATAAATGCCAGGGGTTTGTTATTTGGACTGACATGGTGGCTGGAATGTAATTTGAAGGTTTTTTTTTTGGGGGGGGGGGGCGCCTGATTCCATACCGAGTTTCTCCCCGTCATTCCCCTCAGATAAAATAATAAAATAACTTCCACTCTTCTAAAAGGGCTTTGACGAAGATTTTGGAGTGTCTCTGTGGTGTGTTGTCCAATTATCCAAACGAACATTTGGTGAAGTCACACACTGATGTCGGACACCAGGGCTTCGCTTTCAATTGCTGTCCTCATCTCAAAAAGCGTCGAGAAGCTCAATGCGGGCCAGTCAACTTCAAAGAAATCAAGTTTACGACGACATATCTTTGGATTGAATAACGTTATTCGTGAATTGTGCTCTACACAGAACTGCAATAAAATAAACACAAATAAAGTGCTACAAAATGACAAAAAATAAAAAAAATAAAGGTTTTAAGAGATCACGCTTCTGGGTTCCATTCTTGCAGACACCGTCGTAACTGACTTGCTTCATTCTCCCTGTGGTAATTCAACAACCCTGGAGATAATTTGCTGAAAACTGTGACAATTGCTTCTATTTGTTAGCGCTCAAACAAGTCACTTAATCAGTCCAATGTTTTGTTTAGTTTTTTTTCACTGCGGACTCCAGTGTATTGTGGTGAATTGTGTTTTTGCTTCCCATTTAGATGTTACATCACCCTGACTCAGTCCCTGCACCTGACAATGAGTGGAGCTCCGGCAGGGCCCGCTGGAACAGGGAAGACGGAGACAACCAAAGACCTGGGGCGAGCACTCGGCATCATGGTCTATGTATTCAACTGTTCTGAGCAAATGGACTACAAAGTGAGTCAACAAGTCCACACGCGGCGGCTTTTACATTTGAACTCGAGTGCCCGCTCCCTGCCGACCCATGCTATAGCTTTCCATCGTTATGTCTGTCAACATTATGGTATGCATTTGTCATTCAACGTGTCAACCATCTTCCCCGCCCTTCTTTTTTCATCTTCCCTCTTTTCATCTTTCTTTTTTTTTCTCACCCCCACCCCCCCTTTGGAAGTAGAGCTGATTTGCTCCAACCTGACAGTTATTTCTTCACCGAGCCTTGTCAAAATGCCCTCCCTCCACCCCGGCTGCAAACTGATTTATTATTCACTCATGTATACTCTTGCACACCTTCTGCATATAGAGTGGTCAAAGGCGGCATAAACATAATCTCGCAATGCCGCTACCTCCCGCTTCCCCAGACAGGTGCATCATTACAGTATCCAGGCATACAGCACCCCTGGCTATACACATCCCAGCAAGGTGTCAAAAAGAAGTGCTAATATACTCCAGGAGGAACATGGGCTCTACCACCTGGCATCCCAGCCCCACACTATTGCTCATATTCACTTATACACTCACATACGCATTCTCATGCGCTCACAAGTTGACTCAATCCTCCAGTCATCTGTGTTTTGCGTCAGGAAAGGATTCCTTTTGGCTTGTAATTGGAGAGAAGTCAGCTCCATCCAGCTCATCTTGCTCCAGCTACTCCCTAGAGGACAATTCATAACTCAGAAAGTTGATGCTAGAAAAAATAAAAAAAGTTAAATGTGGGTGGGAAGCATTCCGACTGCTCGTTTTGCTGGGAGGATCTTGTTTTATGAGAGGGTGTATATCGTCTATTTGTTTATGTGATCCAGCAACGAATTGACATCAGCTAGCAAGTTATAATATCAAAAATAGACTAACCTGAAGGTGCCTGTCGTCCTGGAAGTAGTGAGGGGAAAATGAAGCTTGACTAAGCACTCTAGATGGCTCTCTTGGTTAAAGACAAAGAGTAGTGCAATGGGAAGTTGTTACATTTCCACTGAATCTTTAAACATTGAGTGCTGTCTAGAGGAGTAAAAAAAAAAAAAAAATCACAAGTCATATTCACTTATACACTCACATACGCATTCTCATGCGCTCACAAGTTGACTCAATCCTCCAGTCATCTGTGTTTTGCGTCAGGAAAGGATTCCTTTTGGCTTGTAATTGGAGAAAAGTCAACTGCCTCCTTCATCTTGCTCCAGCTACTCCCTAGAGGACAATTCATAACTCAGAAAGTTGATGCTAGAAAAAATAAAAAAAGTTAAATGTGGGTGGGAAGCATTCCGACTGCTCGTTTTGCTGGGAGGATCTTGTTTTATGAGAGGGTGTATATCGTCTATTTGTTTATGTGATCCAGCAATGAATTGACATCGGCTAGCAAGATATAATATCAAAAATAGACGAACCTGAAGGTGCCTGTCGTACTGAAAGTAGGGAGGGGAAAATGAAGTTTGACTAAGCACTCTAGATGGCGCTCTCGGTTAAAGACAAAGAGTAGTGCAATGGGAAGTTATTACATTTCCACTGAATCTTTAAACATAGAGTGCTTGTCTAGAGGAGTAAAAAAGAAAAAAAATCAAAAGTGCTTCATGAAGCTTCATTTGACCATCACGGACTAAAAGGGCATTTGGACGCAGTTCATTGAACTGAAAAGGAAGTCATACACAGCTGTACTGTATAGTACTCGCAGATACAATTTGGAGTTCAACAACAATGGCCTTTAACCCTTTTAGCGAGAGTCGTTACGACAGTGGACAGTTGATCAGGTTACAGGGTGCATGAAACGGTTAATATGTAGTCAACTTTATATTAGGGGTTTCACATCAAACAATATTAAACAATATCCATACAAATATTCTGATAATGTTTTTATATATTTTTGGGCCCTCCCACACCCCATCCCCACATATATTAAAACACATTGAAACATGTGTTTACCTTGATATTTCATTTCTATGTCACTGACTTGTGTTTATACTGTCAGCGTCCCTGAATTTCGAAAGGCTTAGGCATGGACAAAGAATAAATGCTAATACTGGTGTCAGTATATGTGATTATTTTCACATGAGTTAGCATTTTTTTTTTCAAACCATTTTTCTGTACTCTTCAGTGAATAATGCATTATTTGTCATGAAAGAAAATGCAGCATATGCAGGATAAGGGTGTTGGTGCACTGCAATCCGGTGTTGATCCAATCATTTAGCCAACCATAACGCAGTCTTGGGTGTCACTGATGATGTACGGATTAGCGAAGCGATATTTGGACCGTCGCTTCCCCACTGCTGTTAAATGGTCATTTTGCAATATTATTTTAGTTTTTTACATAAATCGCTGAAACCACTTTGGACTTTCTAAAGGCTACCCCCCCCCCCCCCCCAAAAAAAGTTTAAAAAATGAAAGTATCTTAAGCCTGTAAATTCCAATTTTAATGTTCGCATTATTGTGTTTTTAAAGGGAGTGCTAGTTGACATTTTGAGTGTTTTCCACCAGCTTCAATATTTTTTCCAGAGTGCTTGGTTTTATACCGTAATCGCAGAGTGATAACAAACTGTGGTTTTCATGGTGGTGAATTTGAAATGTATAAATATTTATACTAATGTGGTCAAATTAGCAACCAAACTGATTGCTCATCTTTGAGCAAAGACAAATAATCACTCATCACCCTACATTTTTTTTTTCTTGGAATGATAATTTGTATCATACAGCTGGTATTTTAGGATTAAAATCCCCTGCCCCACCACCCTAAAATGTTTTTTTAGGTAATTTGTCAAGACAGGTATGCATTTTTTGCCACAAGGTTGTACATTGGAAGAAGACAAAAGTATGAACTTGTCAAAAAATTATTATGGGCAACATGTACTGTACATTATTGTGCTTGCATCCATCTTTCAGACTTTCCAAATGAAGAAATATATTTGTAACATACTGCCATTTTTTTTTTGTAGTCTTGACTGCACTCTGTGTCTATCCTGACAGTGCATTTGAATATTCATCCTCTCGGTTCTCTTTTTATTCTGTCCATCAGTCCTGTGGAAACATCTACAAAGGTCTGGCTCAGATGGGCACATGGGGCTGTTTTGATGAATTCAACAGGATCTCAGTGGAGGTGCTGTCCGTGGTGGCCGTCCAGGTAAGAATATGTCATGTTCTGCCCTCAAATTCATGTTCTTGGTTTAAGTCTGTGAGCTCTGAAAATGTGCCTTTGCGCCACAGCTTTTTTGTTTCCTTTCCCCCGCCTCAATCTGATTTGTCAAGTGGTCGAACCAATTTGTTTGGAAAAAATAGCCACAAATTGTATTTACACCATTCACTTCTACATTATTGCAATTAGTTACATTTTGTCTTGCTGGAACATTAACTCATTCACTCCCTAAGACGTTTTTAAACGTCTTTTCAGACTTGGTCCAGAATTGGCTGGTACTGAATGAGTTTTAAAAAACTGTAACTTCAAACGGATGCGACTTCCGACCGAAATCAGGCGAAAACCTGGGATGACGGCGATCATCGATTAATTGCCGGTTAATGAATTGTGTGGATTGGGCGCAAGTAAGCATTGACGAATCATCCAAAGCGATTGCTGCCAGATTGAGCGGCACCATCAAATCAACTGTGCGATTGCAGTCCGCTAATTTGTAGTTTCAGCATCAAAGGAAGTTCAGCGCATTCAAATAAATAATAAATGAATCGTTCACCATCCATGCCAATCATGAGTGAGAACACATTTCCTCATAACAGCGACATTAGCAGTACCAACTACTGTGTCGAGACTCAGGGATGGGTTTTCAGTCTTTTTCATGCTCTCTGTCACAATGATCCAGTCAGCTCCAGTCTTCACCATCCCTCCACCTCATACATAGAAACACACAAGTATAAACGCGCCTGACCTAGCTAGCCCGTTAGAAGTCAGGCCGTTTCTATGTTTCGGCTGATGTCGGCTCTTCTGTCATTGCGCATTCTGCTCTCCCGCATCAAAAGAAGCCTTTCTTTGTGGCCGCGGTCTCACGTGCATTCGTAATCCCGCCTTTGCCCGTTTTGACATGATTTTCATGTAAGTGGAACACTGTCATGTCGCATCATATACAACTGATAAAGATGCTGATTACGATCGTGTTGATAATGGTGCCGGTGCTCCCGAGTCCCCTGGCTCATTAGTCACAGCTCTATAAAACAGTCAGTGCTATGCCCTTGCCTTTCTGTTATAGCTTGCAATGAAAGTCAAGCAGTCTTCTCTTCAAGACCCCCGCAAGTGAGCGTGGAGAATTTTAAAGAGCCACAGAAATGACTAGGTGTTGCAAGGTTTTAATGAATAATAAATCATGGTACCTTATATGTGGAGAAGTAGACCTTGAGAGAGAGGAGCATCAAATCTGTGCTGTGACAGTCAGCAGCCTGTTTTCACCGCTTGGCCAGCATCGGCGAAGCCTGCGACACAGAGCAAACTCCCACCCTAGCAAGCATAGCCCGGCACAACTAATCCATCCTCTAAAAGCGGAAACGGCTACCATGGCAGGGTGACATCCGACATTACCAGTGGGGTCTGTTTTGACGCAGGTGGCGGGGTGAGTCCCATATCAGGAAAGCAGATGCAAACAGACGGCCGCCAGATGCGATCTCACAAAGATAAATTGGCTAAATTCGAGCTTAATTTCAGCCAACACACACTTGTAATATCAATATTCTAAAGTCCTACCACACTATGTGCACATTTATCCAGAATGGCATCTTGTTGTTATAATTACTATTATTATATGTTTTTACCTTTACATTAGGATTTTATCTATATAGGTTTGTCTACGTTAAAGGTCTTGCTTGTCTCCTTCTTCCTTCGTTTAGTTATGCTTTTGGTATTATCTTACTTTCATGGTAGCAACGCAGAGCTCACAAACTGCGAATAATCACCACTAGATGGCATCGGAACACACGAACAGGGGAAACAACTCAATGGGGAAAAGAGCAACACCATACATAAGGCGTATCGGATTATAGGACGCACTGTCGGAATAGTGAATGCTTTTCGGTGCACCTTATAATGCGGAAAATACGGTACTCTGATGAGTGCCCAACGTAGGGTTCACCATGAATATGCAAAGTGTACCTGCAGTGAGACAATCATCCCCTTTAAAAATAAGCCAATTGGATGCCCTACTTTTGCATTTTGTGATGCAGCAAGTTTCTCTTTTTCCTGTTCTCTCTCTCTCTCTCTCTCTTGTGCTAATTCGAGTGAGTGATCTGTTGCCGAGAACTCATCCATGAGGCGATGTTCTTCCTCTTTCCAGCTGTCAACTGCGTTACACTCTTTGACCACATTAGTCGAACCCTTTTGAGGGTATTATTCTAACCCAAGGAAACTGCGAAACAGCTTTTGGAAACCGTTGAAAGATGATCACTTTTCTCTGATTCTGCTATTTATTATTTCCCAATTTCCGACTGTTCGTTTTCCATGGGCTTGATTTTCTCAAGGTTTGTGTCTGCAAAAGATGCGAAACCGCTTCGCCTTCAAACTTTCTCGTAAAGGGAGAATTCTATGGTGATATTTGGCTCACGTGTTATGATTCATTAAAATCTGAGAATTGTGATCACTGTTTGCACCCAAAAAACGGATGCAAAGTTTGTTTTTGTGCTGTTGTGCAGGTCAAAAGTATTCAGGACGCCATTCGAGATAAGAAACAGAGATTTAATTTCATGGGCCAAGACATAAACCTTTGCCCAACTGTGGGCATCTTCATCACGATGAATCCTGGTTACGCTGGTCGGACCGAGCTTCCTGAGAACCTGAAGGCTCTTTTCAGGTCAGTCAAACGGCTGAGGGCAGCATTGCGAAAAGTGGTGTCACAGCAGCATGCCTCCTTGGTGAATATTTCATATAGACAGTCACAGACATATCCAATGAATGTTCAAAGTGAGCCAAACTTGTTCCTCACATTGATAAATCAATGCAGAGCTCACGAAATATGTCATTCAATTTGATCCCGTTACTTGATCGTATAGTCGAAGCGATCTTATATTCCAGTGTTTTCTTTCCATTTGTTTTTTTTTTTTTTTTCCTCAGACCATGTGCCATGGTGGTGCCAGACTTTGAGCTGATCTGTGAAATCATGTTGGTGGCTGAGGGATTCATCGATGCACGGGTTCTTGCTCGGAAGTTTATCACGCTCTACACGCTGTGCAAAGAGCTTCTTTCAAAACAGGTAGTCAATTCCTGTTCATAGCTGTGGATCACCAGATTCTAACATGGGATATTTCCTAAGAAAGAAGTCACAGATGGATTTTTTTCCTCTATATTTGTATTTACTGTAAAGGCCGCAAGGCGCTTTTTCCCCACCCAAACAATGCCGAACGCAGCAAGTTATCCAGTTGCATCCCACGACCTTTCTCAGTCACGCTTATTGTCACATGAGGCCAATTTTGCACACGAGCTTCATTCGGCAGCAGTCAAACATAAAGTCTGTGACAATGCAGCCTTTTACAAAGCCGTTTTGTTTCCTGTTTGGGAGACGCAGGGGACGTCTCGACATGGCCGTGGTTAACGGTAACGCCTGTCAACAGTTGAAATGGTGGGAGTCTGTCGCCAAGCAAACAACAGAGAGACGGTGTCGCACTGCTGAGATGAGTGTTTTTACGGCAGTCGTTCCCCATGCTCAGTTCTCGGTCTTTGTGCATGTTTTTAAGCAATACTCTTCAAACATCCACAATGTCTCTGAACCAAATCCAGGATTTAACTGAACAAGGTTTTTAATCAATCTGAGTTCTGCCCGTTCCAATGCTTTTGCATAAATACGGTGTTCCAATACAATCTAGATTTAAAAGCTGATTTTTTTTCTTTTACATACGCAAAAAAAAAATATGTAAAAAAAATTATAATAATGATAATAAATGTATTAATACTTATATATTCACGGCCCAGTGGACCAGTGGTTAGCGCGTCGACCTCACAGCGCAGAGGTACCGGGTTGAATTCCAGCTCCGGCCTCCCTGTGTGGGGTTTGCGGATCGTAAAATGGATGGATGGATGGATTTATATATTCACCCATTTTATAGTCATCTTTTTTTTTGGGGGGGGGTGGCGTGGTGTAGACACGCCACGCCCAAAAAAGAGTAAACACTGTCTCAATGTTGCTTTCTATCAGTGCGGATGGTAACATTCAACCTGTCCTTGATCATAGTCTGGGAGGTGATTCCACCCAGCTCCATGTCAGCTATGTGAAGCGCTCTACTGCCAGTGTACTACTAACTATGACTGCATCTTCCTTCTTTCTCCGAAGGACCACTATGATTGGGGCCTCCGTGCCATCAAGTCTGTACTGGTGGTCGCTGGTTCACTCAAGAGAGGAGATACCAGCCGAGCTGAGGATCAAGTATTGATGAGAGCCCTGAGAGATTTCAACATCCCCAAAATTGTCACGGATGACATGCCTGTATTCATGGGGTTGATAGGTGACCTGTTCCCCGCTCTGGATGTCCCCAGGAAAATAGACCTGCACTTTGAGAAGCATGTGAAGGAATCTATTCTTGACATGAAGTTGCAGGCTGAGGAAAATTTTGTACTCAAGGTGCAGTAAACCTAATTTCTTGATTGCCTGTGCTGCATCGGATTTGATTTGGTTGACAATTAATTCAAAACGCACACGAGTGCAAGCTGTTTGCGAGACCAAGGACAGAGGGGGGGAAAAAATGCAATCACAAGATGTCTGAGAAGTAGCAACAAAGTCCCTTAATGGGATTTCATCTTTAACAATTTAGAAAGATATTACAGTTGTGGCACTTTCATTCAGATTTATCTTAGTTCTCACCAAAACCTGTTTACTCCTCATCCTAATCCTCCGTTGGGAAAGGGCCATTAGTGTCCAACATGTCTGAGATTTTTGGATGAATTGCGCAAATATTGCAGACGCCAGTGGTTGACTGCGATGAGGCTTCGGCTGCCTGAACTGCCGATCCCGTGCCTTTCGTTATATTACAAACTGATAACACATGCCTGGAAGAAGGCACCTTCTGTCAGAGACGGATGAACACGGGACCACGGGAAAATAAGTGCAATTCGCCTCAGGTCAAATGGATACGGAAACCACATCACACAACATCAATGGTGGCCGGGACTGCAACATACAACTTAACCTTGGCATTGTGCGAGACAGCCACAGAAAAAAAAAGAGGAAAAAAAAAAGAGAGAGAGAGCGAGAGAATGGCAGCGCGATCAATAACAACCATCCCGCCCCCTCCAGAGCTTGAACTTTTACTGTCTTTGTTTGTGCAGCCAACCTTTTGATTTCACGCAACACAAGGGGGAAAGCAGCAGAGTGAGAAAGACTGCATGCCTTTAGCATTAGCCCGTGCTAGCGTTCGACTCGCTCACATCAAAGTTGTAATCAGCCGGGGCCTTTGAGAGTGGAAAGCCACCTGGGCTCTCGCTGAATGGAAGCGGATGAGGAACCCCGAGGAGCAACATCGATATGGCATTGATTGAGCTCGCCATCTGTATGTTGGAGTCGAAAATGGGAAGAAAGCCCTTTTTTTTTCTCTCTCGCTCTCTCTCTCTCTCTTCTCGCACATGCTTTTCGCGTCCCTTCTGAACTCAGGGGATCAGCGAAACAATTACGGAAATGTTATTCAATACGATGGTTCACTCTCAAACGATGGACATTTTTTTAACCCTATAGAATGTGTCCAAAGTAACAATAGTCCTCAACAAAAATCAACAACTGCTTCCCAAGTGTGCTCATTATTGGTCCAACCCCCAGATTACTGTCGCATATGTGGACCCAAAGGAGTTCAGTATTGAAAAACTACGAGTGGGAGGTGGGAGCGTGGAAAAATAGCGGTAACCATTCAGTGAAATGTAAAATAGTCCGATGAATTATTAAAACACGTACCTCAGTGTCAGACCGCGGATGCCTCGCCTCAAAAACAAGATTATATTAGAGAACAGAGCAGGTCTCCGTCCTTTTCACTTATGCAAGCACGGACAGTCACAAAATGTTCAGGATGAGGAGATGAATCAGAGGAAGAAAACAGTCACTCACTCTGTGTCTTTTTTTTGCGATTCTTATACAAAACATTCTTCAGTATTTCTTTCTATCTGTTGTGCTAGGTGGTTCAACTAGAAGAGCTTTTGAGCGTGCGTCACTCTGTGTTTGTGATCGGGAATGCTGGGACTGGGAAAAGCCGGGTGCTGAGGTCACTCCAAAAAACGTACCAGAACACAAAACGTCGACCCGTGTGGGTGGATCTGAACCCAAAAGCTGTGACGAATGATGAGCTTTTTGGCATCATCAACCCGTCAACCAGAGAGTGGAAAGATGGTGACGAGGGATTCATTCATTGAACCAATTGTCCAATCTGAGCTATGGAATGACCCGATTTGACCCAAAATGCTTGCATATTGTATCTCGCAGGTTTGTTTTCTTCGATAATGCGTGAACTCTCCAATATCAGTCACAGTGGACCAAAGTGGATCGTTCTGGATGGAGACATTGACCCAATGTGGATTGAGTCACTCAACACAGTCATGGATGACAACAAGGTGCTGACTTTACATTAAAAGAGTACATGTCGTGTTTGTCAAAGTACCGTATTTTCCGCACTATAAGGCACACCTAAAAGTATTCAATTTTCTCAAAAGCTGACAGTGCGCCTTATATATGGATCCATATTCTGAAATGTTCTTGAAAGCGCTTTGTTACAGCTGCAGCGGTTGTGAAAAATATAAATGAAGCTGTCTTGTATTCCCTTTTGCGAAGCTCCATCTAGTGGATGCATAACGCAACCGGGGCCAATATTGCGGCTTCTGTTTTATGCAACTTATAATGTGGTGCGCACTATATATGAAAATAGTTTTAAAATAGGCCATTCATTGAAGGTGCGCCTTATACTCCGAAGCGCCTTATAGTGCGGAAAATACGGTCACTCATCTTAGCCTGCAGGCAATGTCATACAAATCATAATAGCAAATACATCTGATTGTATATCATTGAAATGTGGACACAAACTTCAGTCCAATGTATGTGGATATATCGTATATAATTACAGTTTCTTCTTTTTCGAGGTTCTGACCCTGGCCAGTAATGAACGGATTCCTCTGAACTCAACAATGAGACTGGTATTTGAGATCAGCCACCTTCGGACTGCCACCCCTGCAACTGTGTCCAGAGCAGGTATACGATCGATCTGTACAGGGTTATATTCATTTTTGGAATCTTGATTATAGTTAGAATAGTTATTTCATTGAGATTTTTTTTGTCAGTTTTTATTCATTTTAGTGACAAAAAAATAAAAGTGGATGTCTAAGATAGGATGGTCTTGCTTTCCATCCCTTGTATTATTCCAAATTGCCAACTTCAATCAACTCCAAAGGGTGATGCATTAAATTAATTGCCACCAAAATGATATTTTTGCGATAATGAAAGCTAGTTTTTAGTTATCTTTCTAAACATAAAATGTAGTTTCAATTTGTTTTGTTTTTTTAGGGCGTTTATGATGGGCAGGGACAAATATGTCATGACTTCGACCACCATTTGAAAATTAGAATAACGTGTAGTGAGATTTGAGCTCCCCCATAAATTACATGACCTTTTGATGTTCCAGACTGAACACAATTTCGTGAGTACATGTTCAACCTACACAGTCAATCTTAGAAACAAAGCGTTTGCATTCAAAAGACAAGTATTTTTTTTTCTTTTAGCTGCCACACTATTAACTTTCACTCAAATATAAGGCAACGTCACATGAAATAATTTGCATTTAGCACATAGGTGCTGATTTTTGCTGATGGTTTTCATGCACCCATGTACAGTTTTTTGGGGGGCCAGGGGATGTAAACATTTTATTACAGGAACGCAGTGGTATGAAGTTTGTCAGGCTGATGTTATTGTGGCTCACATTTCTGACTTCAATTCGCATTCATGACAATTTAATTACCGTGAGAATAATTTGACATCACAACAACAGTGTATCTACAGCATGTTTTATTTCATCAGCCATTATGTGTGTCAATCCTACTTGGGGGCGGATGCAACGTGGGTATTATGAATTAAAGTTCCATCTGTCCCGCTCTCTTCAGGAATCCTGTACATAAATCCGGGAGACTTGGGCTGGAACCCTTTGGTGTCAAGCTGGATTGACAGCAGGGAGGAGCAATCAGAGAAGGCTAACCTGACCATTCTATTCGACAAGTACCTCCCCTCCTGCCTGGGGGCCATGAGAATGAGGTGAAAGATTTTTCTTATCGCGTAGTATCAGTAGGATACGGCTGCATTTGCCATTATATGGGCAGGGAGGGTGCCAGAGTTGGTGTATTGGGCTGAAACAAACTGACTCAAACATTTGGATTCTTGCTGTCTATAATGAAGAAAAACGGAGGCAGATTATTTTGCTGCTTTTTGTAAGGCCCAAAAAAAATGAATACATCACCGTGCCATGATGTCAAATACCATGTTTTCCACATTATAAGTTGCACCTAAAAGCATTCAATTTTCTCAAATGCCAACAGTGCGGTTTATCATCCGATGCACTTTATATACGGATCAATATTCTGATTCCTTGGATGTCGTATTTTAAATGTTCTGTGAAGCGCTTTGTTCCAGCTGCAGTGGTTGTGAAATCGCGATATAAATACTGCTGTTTTGTATTGTATTGTATTCGCTATAGCGTAGCTCCATCTAGTGGATGCACAACGCAGCCGTAGCCACGATTGTAGCTTCTATTCATTATATGCACCTAAAATAGGCCTTTCATTAGAGTGCGGAAAATACGGTATAATAAAATCGTCTCAATCAACACCAAACACCAAATGAAGCTCCTTCACTCATTTCAAAAAATGGTCCTTGGCACCAGTGTGCCAGAAAGTGGTGCCGCAGTGATACCTGACAATGAAATCAGCAAATAGGTGAGTTTTTGGCAAACAAGGGAGGATAGGCTGTGATAATATGATCGTGCGTAGAATGTTTGAGTGAGTTTGATTGTTCTTCAGTGTGATGACACTTTTTTTTTTTTTTTTTTTAAAGATTTAAAACGATCATCCCAATCCCTGACCAGAGTATGGTCCAGATGCTTTGCTATTTGCTTGAGTGCCTGCTGACACCGGAAAATGTCCCGCCTGACTCTGCAAAAGAACTTTATGAGCTGTATTTCGTTTTTGCTGCTGTGTGGGCCTTTGGGGGAGCTTTGTTCCAGGACCAGGTACTGTTCATGCATCTCGGCATATTTAAAAGATCCTAAAACGTTGTGTCCTGAAAATATTATTCGAAGCGTTGTGGTTTTTCTGCAAAGCTCTCTTTCTACAAAATGTAATTTTAAATGTGTTTTGAATTGAAGAAATGGCGGCCCTTTGAGAAAACGAGGGATCCATACATACAAGTTGGAAGATAAAAACTGCTCTCTCCGAGGAGAAATGTACTCTCCTTTATTTCCCCATCACAGATGCATTTAAATGCTAAGTGGTTTTATCGACTGGAGAGTTGGAGGGGGTTACAGGGACACAACAGCAAGTAGTTGAGCGGGAAAAATGGAAGTCAAGGTGCTGTCAGTCAGAAGGTGATGAGGATACTGTACCTCGCTATCTGAAGGAGACAAATGGATGCATAAAGGCTGCCTGCCACCTTTCATTTTTCACTATTTAACTGCTAGGGCAGTGCCTGGTTTTTTTTTTTTTTGTTTTTTTTTTTATTGCTTTTATTTCTATTCTCATTGAAATTTTTTTTTTCATATCTGATTGAATGAAACACACGGATCCATATCTCCAAACAGTATATAGCACAGAGTGGAAGCCATTTTAGGATATTGACTGAAACCCGCGTGGTCTCTCTGTGTGAATGAAGCTGGTCGACTACAGAGTGGAGTTCAGTAAGTGGTGGGTGGCGGAGTTCAAAAGCATCAAGTTTCCATCCCAAGGCACTGTGTTTGATTACTACGTTGACTCGGAGAGCAAGAAGTTTGAACCCTGGTCCAAAATGGTGCCAATGTTTGAGATGGACGCCGACACCCCACTTCAGGTACCATGACGATCGATGTACGAGTGTTTCATGTTGGACAAGGAGTGACAAAAACTTCACAACAACTTTTTAACAAGGGTCTCTATGTGTTTCAGCGAGACTCCAGGTTTGCTGTTTTTTAATCATGCTGGCATCACACATACAACGTCAATGTTTCCTTTATCCAGGCTTGTCTCGTTCACACGGCAGAGACCATTCGAGTGCGTTTTTTCATAGACCGCCTGCTGGAACACCGTCGGCCCGTCATGCTCGTCGGGAACGCTGGCACCGGGAAGTCCGTCCTGGTTGCGGACAAATTGACATCGCTGGACGCTGACAAATACGTGGTTACAAATGTTCCTTTCAACTATTATACCACATCTGCTATGCTACAAGGTATCAACGCACCGTGATTTGTTCATACAGTATACTCCCCACTATCCGTCGACATTGTTTGATTAAAGTCACTTTCCAATTGCGATACCCAAATGCACAAACGTGTGATAAGAAAAAAACAAACAAACAAAAAAAACCCTGCTGTCAAATAGTTTGTCAAGCGCACGGATGATATTATGGGCAAGTCGAGTAAATATTGGATTTACATTTGTGGAGGTCACATCAACAAAACTCTGAATCAATGCTAATGTTAAGCCGCCAAAACAGTAACATGAAGGTAATTTGAATCTTGTCGTTTCTTTATCACTCGGTTCTCAGTTAGGTATTTTCGCTTCACGAAAGTCCCCTGACAGTGTTTACGTTTAGTCAGACATAAAAGTAGCTGGGATAGGATCCTCGCGACCCTCATGAGGATAAACGGATCAGAAAACGGATGGATGGAGAAGAGTGACAGTGACTTCGTAAATTCCGCAATTCATTGTGCACTTTTAACCTTTGTGTCCGCCTCATAGCCGTGTTGGAAAAGCCACTTGAGAAAAAGGCAGGACGCAACTACGGACCTCCCGGCAGCAGAAGATTGATCTACTTCATAGATGACTTGAATATGCCCGAGGTGGATGCATATGGCACAGTCCAACCTCACACACTAATACGTCAACATATGGACTACAACCACTGGTACACCACTTTTACTGTGACGTCGGCATACAATAATTGAAAAAAAAAATGTAATAAGCAAAAGTTAATGAAGCCGCCTTTTTATCTAGGCAATTTTAAGTGTCATATAAGGTTTGTTACCCAGTTTAATTAGATGACAATTTTGCCATATACTAACACAGAAATGGTTAATTTCGATTATGGAGTGTCAGTGGCTGATGAATGTAATACCAAATGATTTAGAGCACGGGTGTCAAATTCATTTTTGTCATGGGCCACATTTTAGTTTCTCTTGGAGGGCCGTTATGACTGAAACCAAATAAAAACAGTCAATAATAACGGTTTATTCAACAATTGTTTCAGTTTCTGAAATGAGGGGTTTGGTCACAAGAAAATTCTTGAAATAAGTCTCTTATTTATTACATATGTGAATTTTAAATGTTGGTCGAGATTTTAGCAAGCATCATGGAAGTTGACATGTTAGAGTTGCTTTCGCGGGCCGCATAAAATGATGTGGAGGGCCAGATCTGGCCCCCGGGCCTTGAGTTTGACACATATGATTAAGAGGAACGGCCGCTGTGATAAAGCCATGTTTTGTTTTGTTTTGTATTCAGAAAGGTGGAGGACCTTTCTGAATTCAAAATTACATATTGTTATACATCACATATTGTTACTTTGGTAACAATATGTGATGACTTTGTTTTGTTTTTCAGAAAGGTGGGGGACCTTTCTGAATTCAAAATCACATATTGTTACTTTGGTAACAATATGTGATGATTTTTATGAGTAATGAACATGATCCTCCCTTGATTTTGTTTTCTTGTATTTGTGACCATCCTGAACATAGTCGGTCAGCCCAGTTGCGATATGCTCGAGCTTTAAGGCTTGCAAAATTGAGCAGGCTACTTAGCTGCGGCACAACATGTTGACGACGTGCGGTTTATAAGTGTTGAAGCATGTCGCAGAATCTCACATCGCCAATAGAATCACTCGTGAGCAATTAATCTTGCTTTATCAAAGAGAGCAAGCCGTAGTCAACATTTAAGATCAGTCACTAAATGTGCAAAATGAACATACTCGTGTCAAGAACTGACCAATGGTGTAGATTTGTGAAAAAATATGAAATGGGACCAAATTTGGAGGTTTATGCCTGACGTGGAAAATATGCTGGCTTTACTTTACATGACCAGTAGTTGATGATTGTTCTGTGTTCTTCAAGGTATGACCGTAATAAGCTCCTTTTGAAGGAAATACAACATGTTCAGTATGTGTCCTGTATGAACCCCACGGCTGGAAGCTTTACCATCAATCCGAGGCTTCAGGTATTTTTCCCGCACAAATACTCACGCAGTTTATGAGTCATGTTTATATTTCAAATGTTGTGATGTGTACTTGTTTCGGAGTTCATTTTTGGTCGGCATAAGGAAATTGTCATAAAGTCACGGTCCGGAGAAAAACAATTATGTCCATTTTTGTCACTTTTAAAGTTTTTACGCGAATGGGGTGTTCGCGTTTTGGATATTCCAGTCACATACAAATTTAAAAGATGACAAAAAAATAAAATAAAAAATGGACATACGTGTTTTTCTCAGGACGACAATGATATATAAAATTGCTCAAACAGGACTTGGATTTTTGCACAATTTATAAATGCCAAAACCTTGCGTCTCAAAATGATGTGAATACCACAAAAATCTAACCGCAGCACAAGTGTGCTGGTGTTAATAACTGCTCATTAGAAACTCATTTGATTTATTAATTGCACTGCTCAACGAATGTTTACTGCATTTTTTCATCAGAGACGCTGGTAAAATTATTATTATTTTTTTTTTTGCGCTGTTTCTGAATCTGACCTCGTTTTTTTTGTCTAGCAAATCAGGGTTCCATAATAAGAAGAAGAAGAAGAAGAAAAAGAATTAAAATACCAGTAATATAATATGTAATATCGTGAGCAATATTTATGAATTAAGGATTAGGTTCAGCAACAGGGTGATTTTTGTTTTCTGAAATGGTCATAGCTGTAAATTGCAATGCATGGTAAAATCTTAATTGTGCAAGTTTCAGAAGTCACATTTAAAAACATAAAATGTAAATATTGTTTTTAATTGTTTTTTATTCCCTTCATTTTTTATTTTATTGTTGTTCTTATTATTATTTTTTTAATTTTAAGAATATAAACCTTGAAAACCTCTACTTGCTGGGCTAGTTTTCCGAGGCAATATTGCATGTGCTTGGTGTCAAAGTTGGTTTGATCTTTCCGTGTTTCCTCCCAAGCAGCACAACAGTACATGCATGATTCTTTTCGATGTCCATCGCCACCATTTTCCATCTGATTGCTGCTCTGCAACCAGTTTTTTTTTTTTTTTTTTTTACACTGTATTTTTCTCCGCAGCGCCACTTCTCGGTCATTTCCCTGTCTTTCCCCGGAGCCGACGCCCTCGCGACCATCTACACTTCCATTTTGTCACGGCACCTGCAGAATGATGGATTCACAGCCAGCATACGAAAGAGCTGCCCCACTCTGGTCCAGTTAGCTCTGGCTCTGCATCTGAGCGTTGCCTCCGCCTTCCTCCCCACTGCAGTCAAGTTCCACTACATCTTCAACCTGCGAGACCTCTCCAATATCTTCCAGGTAGCACAGAGACGGCAAACAGCCGTATAGGATCGGGAGTCATCCGCGTGGGATTTACTTTAAGAGAACAACCTCAGGTTAAATCTATTCACCATCCGATGTCAGAGGTCACCTTTATAAATCACTCACCGCTGTCAAGTTATTCCACTCTCTATTTTCACGGCTCCACTTCCCACATGGAAAAAGCCAAGCTACTGTCACTAATTTTTCATTTAAATGATTATTGATTTAATAGCTGTGCCCCGAAAGCCAGAAATAAGTCTGGAATATATAATGGCTTTGCACTCGCACGGGTATTACTGATGACTTCATGTATTTAAAGAATATAATATCAGGGCACCAAAGCTCAACATGGGAGGCGCTTTGGGGGCAATATTTAAGTCAAAATATTCCACGCTTTCATGGAGGGCAGGCTCTTTGATTTAACATACTCCATTGTATAATTAATGCCTCAAGCTCCTTGGTTATAGGAACTTCAATTTTCATAAATCCACCTGGGAATTTACCAAGATAGCTCGGAAGTCTTTTTTCTGATATTGCAATATATAGGCGCAATGAACTATAATCATCGCTCAAATGCCCCGATTAAAATTTGGTGATGTAATAGCTGAAACTTGAGTCCTGCAATTTCTGGTTTATATATGAACAATACTAACACTTGGAGGAGAAGAAAACATACCACATAAGATTCCTGAACAGTTTAGTCAGTCGAAAGTGAGGGGGTGGGCGATTAATTTTGCAAAGTGGCTATATGAGAAACTGGAGTGCTTGCCAAGGACCAAGCCAACACATTAACCTCAACTTTGTCTATATTTTGTTTAATGCATTGAGAAAAAGCAGATTGTCTTGTTTCAGTAAATAGCTGCATGTGTAGATATGATATGCATGATTTATTTATTTATTTTAGAAAATACTTTTTTTTTTTTCCACCCGTGCACACAAAATAGCTTTCAAAATAAAAGCGCCACATATTTTGCATTTTATTTTGGCTTCATGGTCACTGTGAGCGTCGGTCAGATACTCTGGATGTGGCCCCCGGGCCGTACCTGGCCCAGGTCTGTTCTAAAGGTTCTAAACCTGCTCCAAAAAGCTAGCCATCACGATCGGAACCCGTTCTGAAGAACAGTATCAGAGTACTAAGAAATCACAAATCATAATGTACATTCCCGGATATTTTTCGGACCTAGGTGCACTGAATTATTAGGTGCCGTATCAATGAACCAGTCTATTTGAAAACATTCATAAGACACACCCGTTTCTAACGCGCATTATCGTTGTGAAGCAATTAATTGTCCCATATCTTTATTTGATAGGATTAGCGCTATTATGCTAGGTTCAGTCGGACACGAAATATTGGGTAGCGCAGCATGTCCCGCTTGCTTTTGTTCGCTGTGCAACTACACGGGGCTTGCTTCGAGCGGCGAAGAGGAGGAAAAAAAAAGCAACTTTGCACATCGATAGTCAATCTCGGTTGTTATTACTTTGGCTAATGCTAAATGCTATCTGGGTTGCTAGCTCAACAGCTGTAAACAAGTGAAAGCAATGACCGGATATGTCATCTTCATCGCACACCATCATCCAACCTTTTTTGCGCTGTCCCAGCAGCTACATGAGACATGAGAAACGCGTCCCCAGAAACACTCAATTTGCATTCGGTTTGAACGCGGCATTCGGCTCATAGGACTGACTACATTTCTCCTGATTCTTCCATTTACATAAACGTTTTCCATTTATGTGGCAACATTTAACTACATCATTTGTAAGATGTTTTTAGTTCAGCTTATTGACCAGTGCAGTAACTGAGACAAAGTACATTTGTGTTGTCAAGCTGAAATTTGAATAGATTAAAAACTCCAAGCAAGAAAATCAAAAGTCCCAAAAAAGTACCATCGGGAGACGAGGAGAACTTAAACTTGCAAATTATATGGTAAAGTCTGATAATGAGTAAATGTTTTAAAGTTGATGATGCTAAACTTGGAGATTTGACATAATTAGCATCCCAAAGCTCAAGCCCTAATGACCCCATAAAAAAGTTAAATCGTACACAGTCAAGTGGTGGAATGGGCCTGCGCCATGCGATCCAAGAAGCAACTGACACCCAGTCCGACGTTTTTCTTCATTCGTGTCTGTCTTTGCACAAATAGAAGAAAAAAAAAAAAAAAAAGGAAAATCAAGTCACAGGCTTCGGAAGCTTATGAGTTTTTCTGTCATACAGGGTGTCTGGAAAAGTCACTGAGGGCTTGTGTATTATGATCAGCAGACATGTTTCACGAGGTACATACAGGAAACGATGTTTTCTATTCTTTTCAGAGCAACACTGTGGATTTTTTATTTTATTTTTTTGTGAGCAGACATGTTTCAAAACTGACTGTAATGCTGCTTGACAGATAAGAATAGGTTGGCACTCTCCTCGCTCTCATCTGTACTTCAACAGTAATTGCCCTTACAGCACCGCAGTTACACTTTTCACAGGTCTGAAAGTACAGTCTTCGTTGAAAACTACAAAAGCCTGCCCGAATGTCTCCAAGTGACCACTTAGTTTTGAAAGCCAGCACTTTTGGTCATTTGGGCACTTGAGATGTTTACCTCGACTGAAATAATTAGGCAATTTATTTATGTATTAAGATTTTTCCTCGAGGGTAGGAAACAGAGCATTTATACCCTTTTCCCCTTTTCTTTGCTGGTGTTATCTTCTTGTGTTTACTTTATTCTCTGGACTTCCTTATCTCCAAATTGCGTTTCCTCCATGCATTATAATGACCATTAGACCCTCCACAAAACACAAGTGATGTAACTGCTGAATTCCAGAGATCGGATCGAGTCACATATTTGCGAGTCTCAAATCGTTTTCCTTTGGGAAGATTAAGTCAAGTCCTGTGATGAGTTAAGCCAAGTTACGTTATTTATGCAGATTTATATGCAGGGTGCGGTTTTCAAAGGGACCGATATAAACATGAAAACAGTTTTAAAATAGGCCATTCATTGAAGGTGCGCCTTATACTCCGAAGCGCCTTATAGTTCAGAAAATACGGTAATTTGAAAACTATTTGATCGTGACCACACTAAACGTGTGTCGTCCACTGTTAAAACAATGTAATACAAAATCAAAAGTGCTCTGTATTTTATATTTTTATTTTACAACTACACAGTTTCTCCGCATTGAATTATTTGTTTTGCTCAAGCGCACTTAGAAAGTGTGGGCTGTAGTTATTCACACCATTAGGCAGTGAAATGAAGCGGAAAAAAAAAAGATCTATTAAAAGTCCAAGTATTAGATGATTCATCGAGTACTTGAGGAAAGCATTTAGATCTCAAGTAGCAGTAATCATGTCAGTTGTGTCTGATTCGTCCACATATTGCCTCACACAAACTACACCTTCCATCTGCGACATATCAAAATGGACCCAGGACGCAATTGTCACCTTCGGTGGTTTGAAATATGAAAGCGGATAAGCTTCAACTGGCTCGGCCCTCCCCAGAGATGATTCTGTTGATAGGAATCGTTCTGGACCTGAAAGAAAAAAAAAAAAGGTGCGCCTTATACTCCGAAGCGCCTTATAGTTCAGAAAATACGGTAATTTGAAAACTATTTGATCGTGACCACACTAAACGTGTGTCGTCCACTGTTAAAACAATGTAATACAAAATCAAAAGTGCTCTGTATTTTATATTTTTATTTTACAACTACACAGTTTCTCCGCATTGAATTATTTGTTTTGCTCAAGCGCACTTAGAAAGTGTGGGCTGTAGTTATTCACACCATTAGGCAGTGAAATGAAGCGGAAAAAAAAAAGATCTATTAAAAGTCCAAGTATTAGATGATTCATCGAGTACTTGAGGAAAGCATTTAGATCTCAAGTAGCAGTAATCATGTCAGTTGTGTCTGATTCGTCCACATATTGCCTCACACAAACTACACCTTCCATCTGCGACATATCAAAATGGACCCAGGACGCAATTGTCACCTTCGGTGGTTTGAAATATGAAAGCGGATAAGCTTCAACTGGCTCGGCCCTCCCCAGAGATGATTCTGTTGATAGGAATCGTTCTGGACCTGAAAGAAAAAAAAAAAAGACCTCTTAGGATTTCAAAAGAGGATATTGACAATTGTTTCTGGTTTGCTGTGCGGGAGTTTGCATGTTCACCATCTCGCTTCATTCCATAGTACAAAAATATGTCTCTAAACTCATTCACTCCCAAAGACGTTTTTATATGTCTTTTCAGACTTGGTTTAGAATTGGCTGGTACTGAATGAGTTTTAAGTATGTTGAAAACTTGAAATTCCTCGTAGGTCCATATGTTTGTGCGAGTGACAGTGGCTGTCTTGAAAAGCTAAATTTTGTGTGTTTGGCTCCCAGTGGCGACCGAGATTTTTATCTTTGGGCCGGAGCAAGAAACGCATTAACATTGACCATCCATTTTTATGTTGAATAAAATTCACACACGGTTACTGCATTCACAGTTACACATCACCATTTTTTAATTTTATTTTTTTGGGAGTGACATGTTTCCGTGTTGTGTTATCAAATCCGTGAATTGTCGATATCATCTTTTGGTCTTTGACCCATTCTGTGCTTTATTGTACCAAGTTTTGAACATTTTTTCAGGTGAAATACAAATACAGCTAGAACATCTGTTTCAAATATCTTCCGTTGTGACATTTCCTTCAAATTGAGGCTGTGATGTTTCAATTTGGCAGATTGGTGCTCTGGCATCCACGTTTTTCAGTTTATTTGATTTTTTTGTGATTGTTTGTTTTGTTTTTTTTGTATCTAGCTCTCTGTTAGTTTGTAACCAGTGTAAATATATCCAATGTTTCACAACTTGCAGCCAATATTTTATTACTGGCTTTAGAGGAGGATGCAAATATATATTCATGCATATTTTATGAATATAGTTATATCAAAAGTTGTCAAACTGGAGTTTTGGGAGGTGCCACACTAGCCCACTACAGGTTCCTTCCATTTGATGACTATGAGCATGCTGATTTAGCAATTTGGCAGGTTATTAGTTCTCCAGTTGTGTATTGTTGGTATGATATCCCTACAAACATTGTGCGGGGTTAGCATTGAACCGGACAGTTGCGAGCATTTAACTCGGAGCGAAGCAGGTTGCCATAAATCTCTCCTAGTCTACTCAGACTCTCACGCAAGCTTCCAGAAACTGGAATCTTCCAACAGTCAGATAAAAGCAAAGAACCGCCATTATTTATGCCGCTTCCCCGACATGCCTCATCCTCAGTGCATTCCCCACTTTTTCGAGTGGTTTGAATTGAAACGAAGACGCTAAGCTCCCTTCTCTGCCTTCCTGCTTAGGGCATTCTCTTCAGTACCGGCGAGTGCCTGAAAACCCCTCTGGACCTGTTGAAAATCTACCTGCACGAGTCCAATCGCGTCTATAGAGACAAGCTTGTTGAGGAGCAAGACTTCCGGGTCTTTGATAAGATGCAGGCCGACACGGTGAAAAAGTTCTTTGAGGTAAGTTTTGACGGAGTTTTCAAAAGAAAGACAAGGGAGAGGGGAGGTCATTAGGCTACCTGCTCTGCGGCTTGGGCCTTGACATTGGTGAGCAACTCCGAAGAAGAGAGATGGGAGGAGTGAAAATAATGCTCCGGAATGGGTGAGGGGGGGTGTCGAGTGAAGAGAGCAGCGGAGAGAATATTAATCAGGGCGGTATGGGGGTCTGGCTGTCAGGGCCTGTGCTGTCAAGCCCAACAAATTGGAAAACATTTTAATGGTTTTCTGTCCTCTGCGCCCCTCACGATACTCCTTGGGTCCATCACATGCACACTAGTCATACCACAAGAAGGATCTTGACAGTATACGTACACATACACCCGCAAGAACAGGCAGTGAAGCACTTTCAAACTTCTGTAAACCAACGACAATGTAATTTGCCCCCTACTTTCAAATTCTTTTTTGCAAGTCGACTAGCAAGTCTTCCGAGACATTTCGGACAACCCAGGATGTCAATTCAATATTATTTAAATGCAGTCTGCAAATAGAGCACAAATATACTGGAAAAGGCGCACCGGAGGAAGTTGGCAGGGAAAACAAAAAACCAAATCGCCCCAGTGAAATATTCAGGGAACCGATAGTCGCTGAAGTGGAAATGAACTAGGTCACCCTCTGCGCCGCTGCGATATTCAGCTGTGCCCCCTGTCCAAACTGTTTAAGCTTAACACTAATGTTATGCTGACACGGGTCGTGTGTGTGTGTGTGTGTGTGTGTGCGTACCCTCCCTAAGGGCACGGAGGAGAGTCTGGAAAAGACCCGGAAGATGAACCTGTACTGCCACTTTGCCCACGGCCTTGGGGAGGCCAGGTACATGGCAGTGGAATCCTGGAGCAGCCTCAGTCAAAGCCTGCTGGAGGTACTGGACAGCTACAATGAGGTCAATGCCACACTCAACCTGGTGCTGTTTGAGGATGCCATGGCGCACATGTGAGTGGAAGATTACATACCTCAGGGACAATGCGGGAAGACGTTCAAAAAAAAAAAAGAATAAAGTGTTTCTGTCATTTTCGCAATTGTCTGTCAAGGAGATGGACTGGTTTTGCAGGTATTTGAAGATGAATAGGTCCATTTTGTTTTATAGACTGTCAAAAGCAGAGACGTGGGACTGTCAGAAGTTATTTGGCAAGAGCTGACAAAAAGACAGCGCGGACGAGAATGTCACTCGGTCGAGACGAGACTGCCACTGAGGCTAAATTGCTCGTAAGAATACGCGGCAAATTACTTTCAAAGAAAGCCACGTCCTAAATCATGGTATCAAACCTAAGGCCCGGGGGCCAGACCTGGCCCGCCTCATCATTTTATGCGGCCCGCGAAAGCAAATCAAAAATGGAAACCTCCATGATGCTTGCCAAAATCTCCACCAAAATTTAAACGTCTCATATGTAATAAATAAGAGACATATTGTAAGCATTATCTTGTTACCAAACCCCTCATGACAGTGACTTAAACAATAGTTGAATAAACCGCCATTTTTTGATATGGTTTCAGTCATAACGGCCCTCCAAAGGAAACGGTAACTAAAATGTGGCCCACAACAAAAATGAATTTGATACACCTTTCCTAAATCCTTGAGCCGTACCCTCACTGGCATTTCAGTGGGTTGGAGTACCCGGACAAAACCCACACATGCAAACTCTACACAGGAAGGCCGCAGCTGGAATGGAACCGTACCTCTGCACTGTGGGGTCGACGGGCTGCCAAATTCTTAGTAGGATGCAACAATACAGAGAAGTGCAAGTTGAGATGGAGTTATCAAAAAATGTAAAACTGAAGAACAAAAAGATAATTGTTTTATCATTCTATCAATGCCCTTTTTTTTCAATCGTTTGGGGCAGATGAGTGTTTCTTGAGGTTTGGCTTTGTCAATGTGACTGATGTACACTGATATAGATGGTGGGAGCAGGTGGTATGACAGCCAAGGGAAATAAACAGAATGTCCCATTGTTGCATCGCATCCTTGATGAGTCCGATTACTGTTCGAGCAAACCTCCTCCTTACATGAAATTCTTCCACTTCCACCCATTCTGTTCTTACACTAATCTGGCTGTCTGCACCCCCGCCCCACACGCGCAGCTGCCGTATAAATCGAATCCTGGAGTCTCCACGGGGGAACGCACTGCTGGTGGGAGTAGGCGGAAGCGGCAAGCAGAGTCTGACCCGACTGGCCGCCTTCATCTCCAATCTGGAGGTTTTCCAGATCACCTTGAGGAAGGGTTACGCTATCACAGACCTCAAAGTAAGCACAAACAAACCGAAGTGATGATTGAAACCGTGTCCGACATGCGCGCCGTTCACGTTTGCCTTGTTTATGTCTAAAACCTGAGGAGATGCTGCTGGAATTCTTGACATAACCCCCGCCCATGCTTGGAATTTACACTGGCACCCCTGCCTAGAAAAAAACAAAACAAACTAACGATCTCTTGCCCACTTGTCGCAGAATCTCATGATGTGTCATTCCCCCACTCTGTGTGTTTCCCTCACCCAGAGTGACCTGGCATCGCTTTACATCAAAGCCGGCGTGAAGAATATTGGCACCGTGCTCTTAATGACTGATGCCCAAGTGGCAGACGAGAGGTTCCTCGTTCTGGTCAACGATCTGTTGGCATCGGGTAAGGGCAGGCTTCACTAATTACTGTCTGTCACGTTTTGCAGGAGCGGAAAGGCTTTAGCTATGTCGCAGCCAACAAAATTGCGGTGCCATTTCTCCAGCTCTGTTCACAATGCTACTGGTTGGAATGGCAAGAAGAGTTCACGTGGATGAACCATTTGAAGTGGAAGTTGATGTATTCATTACCTTTTGTTAGCCAGCAGAATAATGCCGAAAAGAACAAAACTAATTGAGACAAAATATTGCAGAGGGGCGAGGTGAGAATTTAATTATGGTGTGAATTGAGATAAGGAATTAACCCTTTCATGCACCCTGGAACCTGATCACAAGATCAGCTTTCCACTGTAGTAACCGCTGTCCCTAAAATTAAATCAATTATTATTATTTTTTTTAAAAACAGCATTTTTGCCTCATTCATTTTGTTGTTGTTTTTTTCTCTTCTCATAAAGTTAAAGAATAACAGCTGTGGGTTCTATGGCATTTTTTACAAGGTTGGGATTGAAAGGGGGGGGGGGGGTGTGAAAACATGTCTATCACAGACCTCAAAGTAAGCACAAACAAACCGAAGTGATGATTGAAACCGTGTCCGACATGCGCGCCGTTCACGTTTGCCTTGTTTATGTCTAAAACCTGAGGAGATGCTGCTGGAATTCTTGACATAACCCCCGCCCATGCTTGGAATTTACACTGGCACCCCTGCCGTAAAAAAAACAAAACAAACTAACGATCTCTTGCCCACTTGTCGCAGAATCTCATGATGTGTCATTCCCCCACTCTGTGTGTTTCCCTCACCCAGAGTGACCTGGCATCGCTTTACATCAAAGCCGGCGTGAAGAATATTGGCACCGTGCTCTTAATGACTGATGCCCAAGTGGCAGACGAGAGGTTCCTCGTTCTGGTCAACGATCTGTTGGCATCGGGTAAGGGCAGGCTTCACTAATTACTGTCTGTCACGTTTTGCAGGAGCGGAAAGGCTTTAGCTATGTCGCAGCCAACAAAATTGCGGTGCCATTTCTCCAGCTCTGTTCACAATGCTACTGGTTGGAATGGCAAGAAGAGTTCACGTGGATGAACCATTTGAAGTGGAAGTTGATGTATTCATTACCTTTTGTTAGCCAGCAGAATAATGCCGAAAAGAACAAAACTAATTGAGACAAAATATTGCGGAGGGGCGAGGTGAGAATTTAATTATGGTGTGAATTGAGATAAGGAATTAACCCTTTCATGCACCCTGGAACCTGATAACAAGATCAGCTGTCCACTGTAATAACCGCTGTCCCTAAAATTAAATCAATTATTTTTTTTTTAAAAACAGCATTTTTGCCTCATTCATTTCTCCCCTTGTAACGTGTAGATTACCTTTAAGAAACCAATAAGGAAAATCACTCAGGTTGACATTCATGTGTTGATCTATAAAGACATGGTCAGAAGCCAAGTTGTTGTTTTTTTTTCTCTTCTCATAAAGTTAAAGAATAACAACTGTGGGTTCTATGACATTTTTTACAAGGTTGGGATTGAAAGGGGGGGGGGGTGATCTAATAAATCTCGTTTAATTTTTATTGATGGCCTCCCTTTGTAACGTGTAGATTACCTTTAAGAAACCAACAAGGAAAATCACTAAGGTTGACATACATGTGTTGATCTATAAAGACATGGTCAGAAGCCAAATAATATGCATTTATGACTCATTACAATGCATCTGTCACAAGAATAAAAAATAAAAAATTACCAGATCAAAACAATGTAAAGGTAAATCCCCCCCAAAAATCAACAAAAATAAACAACATGATGACCTCATTTAACCCTTTCAAGGAAGGCGGTTACTAGAGTGGACAGCTATTCATGTGTTTTTTTCTCTTATATTAATTCATCTTAATGTCACAGTTGTGCATCAACCACGACAATGGACCCTTTTGTCTGTTGCCATTCACTGCAATTATTCCTTTTTTTTTTTCCTGTATAAAGCTTCATAAAAAAACTTGAGAAAAAATACTGATTATTTGTGTATGAAAGGGTCAATATGAAAGGGGGAAAAAAAAAAGCTCTGTGTATTTTACCTACACCTGAAGGACCGGATGTGTATCATTTAATTATCCATCAATCCGTCCTTCTTTTTTCTGTACTGTTTATCCCCCATCAATGCTCAACCAAAACTCACTTTGGAGCTGGCTTCGTAATCATTCAGGGGACCACAAAAGAGAAATCAGCCAAACAATTCCATTTTAATTGGCTGCTGCGTTTTCAAAACAATATCGCCGTGGTCTCTATCAATACGTTTGTGCCTCAGAGTATTCCTCAAGAGAACAGAGAATGAAAAGAAATGTGCTTTCTGTTGAAGTTAGTTCACGTTTCCAATCGTGAATGTCAGCTGGAACAAAGACTGCGTCGTTGAATTTTTCATTTCGCAATTCTCATTCAACCCATCTCCAGATTTCAGTGACTCTTTCCACACCCACCGGGTACCCCAACAATGCTGCCAATGCAGTCAAAAGGTGTACGGATAATTAAAAAAAAGAAAAAGAGGATTGAGAAAACAACAAACAGTTGCTGTCACAAGAGTGCAGACCTCTCCCAAGGTTAAACGGATAAAAGAAAAAAAAAATCACTCCTCAGAATGTTTTGAAACTGTTTCTACCGTCCTGATAACTAACTAGCCCACAGAGAACAAACCACCGGGGATCAAAACAATTCCTCATTGCCAGAGTTGCTCCGCTTGCTTCAGTTCGGGATTGGCGATATTTCACGGATGCGTAAAATAACTTTATAGCTATGTTTCTTTTCGATTGCTTGAACAACTGAAACAATAACGCTTTCGCTTAAGACTTTCCGGCAGTAACATGCATTCCTTTTTATTATTCAAGGGGAGATTCCCGACCTGTTCGCAGACGATGAGGTGGAGAACATCATTGGCAGCGTGAGGCCCGAGGTACGCGGCTCTGGATTGATGGATACAAGAGAAAACTGCTGGAAGTTCTTCATCGACCGGGTTCGCAGACAGCTCAAGGTGAACTAATCAGATACTCCGACACGTACTGTACAAAGAGCCGCTTGTTCTGTTACTGCGCATTTCACAACTAATGATCCAGAGAAATTTGTTGTTTAGTGGCTCTCCTCCGGGGGGGAAGGCGCGGAAAAGTTTGCCGTTAATTTGTCTCTCAGAACCCGGACCTCTGTTTGATCTCCCGTTTTTCTCAATATAGCTTCCAGTAAGTCGCCTTTCACCCCGCACCTCATTTACGATCGCAGGATTTTCATAGATAGGTACACGTCTGGGCTTTAAGATGAAGCTCTCCCCAGACAATTTCCTCTTAATGATCTTTCGGAACGCTTTCATAGGTGGCGGTCTTTGTCATAAATCACTGGTATGACTGGAAAAACCTGCAGTTTTGCAGGGGGATGATTTCACAAACGTTTAACTACTTTGCTCCCTGTAGAGGATTCCGGGAGGAGGGAGGGGGGGGATTCTTATCCTGTCAGAATTACCATGCAGCCCCATCACCATCCATATCCACCTCCCTGTCTCGCTCCCAGCCCTGTACACTCCCGAGGTAGAGGAGTGAATAAATGAGGAAGGCGATCCCACTTGTCAGGCTCATGCGTGTAAAGAGCGGATCTGTAACGATGTGAAATGATCTGTCTGAATACATGGATGGAAGAGTCTAATTTGCTGTTCACAAGAAGACATGATCGCAGTGAGTTTTGCATACCATAATAAGAAATACGTATAGGCGTACCGTATTTTCTGCAATAAATGGCGATCCGGATTATAAGGCGCACCATCAATGAATGGCCTATTTTAAAACTGTTTTCATATATAGGGTGCACTACATTAAAAGGCGCATAGAATAGAGGCTATAATCGTGGCGGCGGTTGCGCTATGCATCCACTAGATGGTGCTACACTAAAGGGAATACATTACAATAGAATTCAGCTTTATTTATGTCGAGCCTTCACAACCGCTGCAGCTGCAACAAAACCATGAGAACTGGTTACAAACATGGATTTGATACATGTAAATACAAATGGCATTACAAAGCCATATATGAAAGACAAAAGTTCTGAAGACAATTGATTCAACAAAAAGGCACACAAACCTTGTAAGCTGACATCCACAAGGGGCTAAATATACTGAGAAGCCTTGCTTGGCTCCTTCTTCCTTCTTTTGGTCAGTAGTTACCGGTTTCAGAATGGCTACGCTGAGCTCACAAAGTTGTTGTCTGTTTGTGTGTCGGGCAGAACCATTTTAGGTTACAATTGGTTCCTGCTAATAATCATCACTAGATGGCATCGGAACAGTAACAGGGAAACAACTCAATGGAGAATGTAAAGAGACTGTAACACCATATATAAGGCGCATCGGATTGTAGGTACGCCCTATAGTGCGGAAAATACGGTCGGTAGATAAATAAATATATAAATGTGTCATGATGAAAGTGTGTTGGTTTCATATTTCTAATATGTGCAACTTGTGGCTTCCAGATTGAGGGGCCTCGCCGTGTCAAACCAATGCTTCAGATAATGGAGAATTTGTTTGCAGTCATCTGAGTTGATGATGTTTGGAGGGTCCTTTGAGTTTTGCCTTCTGTATGTTTGTTGCTTTCGCACGATGGAGCATCTGGTCGGGCCTCACAACAAGCCAGCTGTTAGTCTCCAATCATTCCAACGTCGCCCGGAGCTCACCACAATCTTTTAATTCGCATGCCTGCCAGAGGGTGTGTTTGCTTAATGATGTAGCTTCGAATAATTTATTCTCTGTTTCCCATTTTTCATGCTGATTGTAGGGAGTGCTAATCATCGGCGGATCCGACCTCATATCGCGTGTGCGTGTGTGTGTGTGTATGTGTGTGATTGGTAGGTGGCTCTGTGTTTCTCCCCAGTTGGCAGTAAACTGAGGATTCGAAGCAGGAAGTTCCCTGCTGTGGTCAACTGTACAGCTATCGACTGCTTCCACGAATGGCCGCAGGAGGCGTTGGAGTCGGTCAGCCTCAGCTTCCTGCAGGAAGTGGACAATATTGAAGTAAGAACTGCTCCCCTTCTCAAAATGAATCGGTTGCATTTCTAAAGGACCGTTGCCTGTTGCGCTCATGTCTGCAGCCCCAAGTGAAGGAGTCTGTCAGTAAATTCATGGCGTACATCCACACGAGTGTCAATCAGACCTCCAAAGAGTACTTGGCCAATGAGCGGCGCTACAACTACACCACACCGAAATCTTTCCTGGAGCAGATCAAATTGTATCGAAGTCTTCTGGGCCAGAGGAGTAAAGACCTAAGCAGCAAAATGGAGCGCTTGGAGAATGGCCTGCAAAGGCTCAACAGCACCTCAGCTCAGGTATTTTTTAATTTTTCTCCCATGCACATTTAACCTTCTTTTCTTTCTTTCGTTCACCTTGTGGTGGAGTCACAAGACTCCGTGTATGTTATCGGTCGAAACCATCTGGTCAAGCTTTAAGCTGACGAGAGGATCTTTTGGAGATAGTGGCGGTACGTAAGGCGTGTCTCAAAACAATGGCAGCGCCAGAATAGAAGTTGCCATTGCAGCAATTTTATCAAAACAGGAGCACTTTATTAAAATGTCATTTTTTTGCAGTGTTTGCTTGTTATTTTCTGATATGTTATTCAGATAACGCTTAATTTTTCATGAACTAAAACATCAACATCCATCCTTCCATATTCCACCGGGAAGATGGAATCGACGGGCCTCTTTATACTGTAGGCGCCAAACGCGCGGACGTCGCCGCGGCAATGCTGCGCGCAATTTGTCACTGTACTTGTGCGCCACCCACATGCGCGGTTTTAAAAATGTGCATCCGATGCTAGGTTTCTGTAGTTATTATTATTATTATGATGATTATGAGTCACTGATGGTGTAGTGATACACTCGCCTGACTTGTGTGCGGGCAGTGTGGGATCGGTTCCCACTCAGTGACGGCGTGGATGTGAGGTTGAATGGTTGACTCTATATGTGCCCTGTGACTGACTGGCGAGCATTTCAGGGTGTATAGTTTGCGTTCTGCACAAAGTCAGCTGGGATAGGCTCAAGCAACTCCCCGCGACCTTGTCAGGATAAGCGGTGTTGAAAATAGATGGATGGATGGACATGAAGATGATGATGATGATAATGATTATTATCATCCATCCATTTTCCAATCCGCTTATCCTCACAAGGGTCGCGGGGTGTGCTAGAGTTTATTCCAGTCGTCTTCAGGCAGTAGGAGGGGGACAACCTGAACCGGTTGCCAGCCAATTGCAGGGCACAGATAGATGAACAACCATCCATGCTCACACTCACACCTACGGACAATTTGGAGTGTTCCATGAACCTGCTACGCATGTTTTTGGAATCTGGGAAGAAACCCGAGTACCCGGAGAAAACCCACGCAGGCACGGGCAGAACATGCAAATGCCACACGGGAAGTCCGGAGCCGGAATCGAACCCGCACTGTGAGGCCGAAACATTAACCCAACGACCACCGGCCCCCCACATTCT